ACTTTGTGACTTTCCCCAATCCGTCCCATCTTGTGCCACTTCTTTTTTTCTAAACTGGAAAAAAAAAAAAAAAAAAAAAAAAAAGAAAACAATTCCAAGAAGCTTTCATGAACACTCACGTGGTTTACAATTCAAACACATTCTCTTCATTTATAGTTATTTAGTGGGCTCAGAGCATTTTATTTTCCCTATGCATATCTGGAAGTTTGTTATTTTTTATTTTAAAGCAGTAAATTCCTCATTTTTCTATTCTCCCCCGTGCCTGTATTTATGATGGTGTCATTTATCCCACTGCAAAGCTTGGTTCCCTGGCAGCTTATCATGAAAGCATGTTATTTTATGACAGGTTTTTTATTGTTTGTTGTCAACATGATTGCCTGGGAGAGTTATTTGGTACAGCTCTATTAGAAAACAAAGTTAGCCTTTCTCCCTTTTCAGGGATGTCTGGTCTTGTTTGCGGGAGGATAAAAGTTACTGTGCATTTCCCCATATATAACTCAAATCATGCTTCTCTTTACCTGTACATGCTCCCGATAAAACAACGTAGAACATGACAGATTTGATGCTATGACAAGTGGATTTCTGATGCCATGTTGTAGTTTTTTTCTCCAGATTCAGAGAAAAAAAAATTACCAGAACAGGCAAAATCATTGATGGAAGAGCTATTTGTCTTCTTTACTCTGCAGCATTGGATCACATTGCTTATAAATGTGAAAACAAGGCAAAGTTTCATGAACAGTAACCAAGGAAAGTAAGTTTTGATGTCATGGTCAGCATTTCTGGTGTTTGAGAACATGAGTGACAAGAGTTACCTGATATTTGAGTGTTACTTGCAAGGCAGGGCAAGGCAAGGCAGGGAAGAGGAGAAGGGAACTAGCCAATGAGGTTGCAGAAGCCGCATCATTAAGCATCAGCGGGAAGATGCTGAGCAGGTAGTTAGCTGTGAGCTTTTGGAGTCAAGGAGGCTAGATCGTATGGGATCTGGACTCAGGGAGTGGTGAACATTTATGCATTATGAAGCCACAAAGTCAAGTCATAGGTGTAATATGAAGACTTACTTCTGAGGATGCCAGGATTATTTGCCCAAGGGAGGAAGATTTAATGAAAAAGAAAGCGGCTGTGATAGAGGAGTGAAAGAGATTGTTGTGCCCCAAAAGTTGAGGGAAAAGACAATTCTTGTGCCCTTCACATAAGATGACAGTTGACTGTTTTAAAGGCCAATGAAAGTGATTGGATCAATGAGCCACTGGCCTGGTCAGAATGGAAATTCAGTTGGAAAGGACTCAAGAGAAAATGAGGAGAGGCGTTGGAGACTGAGTACAGATTGCTTTGAGTTTTGTAGAAGGAGGTGTGGAAAAAAGGACCACAGCAAGACAGGCTGTGGAATGAGGAGGAGAGGGATTTATTTTCACTTGGTAGATATAGGATGCATTGTCAAAGCTCAGTATGTAATGCTTCTAGAAGCCTACTTTAATAGCTTCCTGCCTAAAGTATCACACACGTATGATCAATTGACTCCCCATGAAGTGCCCTTTGTAATCCACAGACTTCTTACCATATTTATCTACTGAAGAAAAACCTTTAATGATAACACCCCGCAAACTTGAAATTCCTTAGAATTCGTAGTGTGAAAAGTCAAGATGTGTACGCTCTTCTCCAGCTAATCTGGGTCCTCCTCTGCATACTTTGTCTTACCCCATGGGCTTTGTCCTAGTCCCGCTGCTCTTCAACTGCATCCCCACCCCCCCAGCTTTATCCTCTAATCGCTGCACGTGAAAATCTCAATTGCTGTTTGGCCCCATTCATATATTATGTGTTACACGATGTCTTTAGCCAGAAAAACATTTTACCATCTCCAGTGCTATTGATAAATTATTTTGATCACATGTTTGACCTTAAGTCTTACCTTTGTGTCCTCCATGGTATTTATATCCGAGCATACAGTTTAATAAATGAATTAACTCCAGGTTGGTCAACTTTCTCCTTTCACTCTTCTGCCTCAGTCTTTGGTATAATCTGCCCATATTTAATTGTATTTCTAGCACCACGTCTGAACCTCATGACACATCTTACACAGAGTTGGGGAAACTCTTGATTCTGAGGCAGCTCAGAATTTCCTGTGCAGTTCTTAGGAAATGTTATCTGGAGAGAATTCTAGGTGGTGGGAGAAGGCAACATCTCACCAAGAGCGGCATATCAGGATGAGATTTGAACCCTTAGCATTTTAGAATTTTTTTTTTTTTGTCAATGCCTGGACAGCTTAATGAAGGTTATAGCTTGTTAGCAAAAATTAGCTTAGGTGCGTAGTACTGACAAATTGTAAAAATAATCCTGTTTATAAAAGTCAAAACGTGTACCATTCTCAGTAATCTGGAGCTGAGTTCAAATATTTAACCTTTCTCAACAGCCTAGCAAAATAAATAGCAATGGTTGTAAACCTGTTATAAAGATTGGAGTGTTGGCATCTGGGCCCCAACACTGACGTCATTAGCTGAGCGCTACCCTAGCTTCAGAAATGAAACTATTCTCAAGGCATTTTAGAGATGTAATATTTGGATAAAGCCAAATCTGGACAGGTGTAAGATATTTCCAGCCACATCACTCCATTTTCTTTGACAGAAGGAGAAACATTTCTTATTGAAAATGATGAAAATGATGATGAGGATATATTATGTTCCTCTTAAGAGATTTTTAGAAGGTTCTGTTTCTCTATTCACATTTTTTCTCATCTTACAGACTGGGAACTGTTTGTGGAGAGGGGACTATCTGGCTTTTGTAGACCATTTCCTCAGTGCTTGATTTATCCTGTGCTTTAAAAAATATATCGACTGAAAGCCTAAATTAAAATATTTGTCACATACATTTTGTCAGTGAGTATTCAAGGAGCAAAAGGATCCCAGGTATGAAAACGAGAATTCGGCGTTTCAGCTGTACAATGAAAGTGACTTTTACAAAAGCGCCCTGCCAATCTTCCTTCAAAATAATTAGCATGCAAATTGAAATTCATATTGCATGCCAGAAAATGGCTGTTGTATAGCTGATTATTAGTGCGTAGGAGGTGTTTATGTGAATACGCAGATGTGTTCAGGAGACCTTGATCACTTTGAACAGTCCAGCCTGTATTCACAGATGAAATGCATTCCATTCCCCCATTTTCTCTGTCACAATTGCATTTCCTGCATATTTAAACAGGTGCACCAATTTATCCAGAGAGTAGTACATTTTGGGGATGACAGCTTAAAGAATTGCTTCACATTTGTGATAGGCAACTTCCACGGACTTTCTGAACAAAGGACTTAGGTTCTCTGGATAGCAATATCATCAATGTTTATCAGGGTGATCACCTCTCGGGACTAAAGTTTCATGTACCTGTAGTGTATACCTAGTCTGCAGGACCAATTCACACAAGATTTAGTGGATAAAATTGTGCGGAGCAGACTTTTATTTTGAAGATTGGGGGTGAGGAATATGTCTTTTTGTATTCTGGTTAAATGCTTATGTAGTCCGTTGGGGAAAAAGAATAATAATTCTCCTTTTCATGTGCTGTTTTGCCATGCATGTGAAGATGCAATTGCGAATAGCTGCAGCTGTGGTTGTTTAGAGGACGCTTCTGGGCGAGTTTCTATAAGGAGTGCACAAAATGGGGAGAGTTTTCAATCTTAACATAAGTTTCTTAGTTCAGTCCTGGAGGTTCTAGAAGATGGCAGGAATGAGCGCGTACAGCTTTACATTTTAATTCTCAGGTCTAGTCTATTCCTCCTTAAAATAGATGCTCAATTGACAAATGCATTGGTTACCTGTTCCAAAAATATGACACATTATGGAGATAGTGGGCGTATTCAGAAATGTTGGGAGGTGTAGTTGAAAGATTGTTAATTTGATCTTCAGAAAGTTTAGGAATCCCCTGTCCTCTACTAGCCATACGAAGTGCTACAAATGAGTTGATTTGATTTTTTGTCCTAGCCTTAAGTGGCATGTATTCCTCTGTCAACAAGCAAAAATGTGTTTCAATTCTACTTTTCATCTCCCTTTTAAAACATCTACTGCGATTTAAAATAGAACTTAAATGAAATTTTTCCTTAGCAAACAAGACTAGTTTGATAAAGGTAGTGATTGGCTGAAGTGGTTTCTTCAACTCTAAGTGGTGGTAGCCCTGCTTTTCAGGGCACGCTTTGGGCACTCCCTTGCCCTCTGTGAACCACGTTTTGATAGCATTGACATCTGGTGGTTGTGGCAAGAACAGAAATGGGGAGTCGGTGCCAATGGTTTGCTCCTGGGCCAGGGCTACACTGGACCCAATCAAAGCTAAGGAGTCTGCCAATGAGCAGAGGAATTTGGAAAGGCTTCCAGACTTCACTAGAAACTATGCTCAGGAAAAAGCAAGAGCTGTGCTTCACCGAGCTTAGAAGTTCAAATGGCTACCGTTATGCTAAGAATTATAGACCATATCAACAACAACAACAACGACAACAAAATGCCGCTGTTTGACCTGCTATCTGTTGCTTCCCACCAGTTCGAACTCCAGTGGATGGTGATCCATTGTGACCCACTGAGACCCAGGAGAGAAACATGTCACGAGCTGCAAGTCAGAAGCACAGTGAGTCCTCGAACCACCTGCAAAAGCCACTTCTCCCCATCTTGCCCTCTCCTCAGCACCAGTCTCTCTCCATCCTTCCTCCCACTTTTTCTTGCCCTAGAGTCTGCCTAGCTGGGAATTAAAGGAACACAGGTCCTTCTTGCAACCTGGCTGTAGAAACGATCCCTAACTCGGCCAGTGTCTGATGCACTTGGCAGCTCAGCGTCTGCGGAAGCACTGGGGGTCTGCTCCTCTGTAGAGCACGGACCCTTGGCAGGCTCCTGGCACAGTCAGAGGCTAGCCTGCCTAGGAGGATGGAGTAGGGAAAGGTTGTGCATTCAAGTCTCGATGCAGCTGCCAGGGAAGGGTTAACGGGGACTGTTGTTATTCTATCCCTCCTCCCAGGCCTGTTAGCTCTCCTCCAATCCCCAGGACCCTCTCCAGGGCCATTCATAAACAGAAGGAACCTAGGTCCCCCTGGCCAGGGACCTTTGCAACCACTACTCTGGGTGCATTTGGAGGTCCAAGTGTCACTTTATGCACTCAACGAGGTCTAGAAGTCTAGAGGGCATCAGGGTGCAGAGTCCAGCCAGAGGATCGGCAGAGGGCAACCAGGATGGCCTGGACTGACCGGGGCCCTGGAATACTTGGCTTGCCACTGCTGCTCTGCGGGCTTTGCTTATGTGCTGCTCAAGTAAGTTCCGTGCCAGTTTGCCGGGCACTTTGTCACTCTTTCTCCATCCTTCCTTTTATCGACAGCCCAGCCAGACCACCGATGATGAGGTAAGCTGGGGACCAAAAAAAAAAAAAAAAAAAAAAAAAAGAATACTGTGCAGAGAACCCACAGGGCTCTGCAGCCAGCTGCCCTGCAGCCTGGGGCACTTCCAGCAAGTAGGGTCTGAGTCTGAGCCTTAGATGCCCCACTGATGTGGGAAAAGGGACCATTTCTCTCACTTGGACACTGAACTGACACTAAATTAAAGGCGCAGTACTGGGGGTTAACAGATGATTCAGCAGGGCTTCAGTCTTAGCTTGCATTATTTTATTTGTTTTGTTGTCCTTGTTACTCACCCTTCCCATCAACCCAGGTTCTGCTCGAGGGCAGGTCTCGGTGGTGGTTAAGGCAGAAATTCAGGCAAGCTTTCTCCTGCTGCAGGGAAACCACTAAACCTCAAAATCCTGCTAGCAGTTTAGGAGTGAAGCCTCGAAGTCCTGGGTCCCATCAGAACTCAGGCTACTTCTCGCCAGTCTCTCTCCCCCACCCAGCTCCTGGCAAGGCAGAGTGTAGCAGCCAGGCAGGGAGGCCAGGGGAGGTTTGAGTTTTCACTTACAGAGACCCCATTGTAACCTGTCTGGTCCTTGGAGTTCAGGAAAACAAAGTCTCTCTTGATGAAAGCAGCCTTCTTCTCTCGCCCTCTCCCGCTTCCCCCTCACCATTCCCCCTCCCTCTAGAAGCAGAGGGGAAAAAAAGTCCCCTAAAACAACACGTTCATTACTGTTTCAGGCGCCAGAATCCCCTGTAGACTCATAGAAACAGCTGTCGGCAAGTGACACACAGGGCTCACACAGCTAAGTGTCCCCCGAAAGTTGTGAGGCTTTTGAAGCAAAGTGCAAAGAACTATTGTTAGGGAGTGTCATGCCAGGTCAGGCTCCTGAGTCCAGGGCCCTTCTACCCCATACCTCCCAAACCCAACACCACCCCCCAACCCCTCCCGCGGGTGGGCCACCTGCTCCCAGTCTCCAGGACAAAGAAATGTATGCAGTGGTAAAGTAACTATTTGTGCCCCCCCCCCCCCGGGATGTTCCAGTCTTGTCTGCTGGACTTGAGACAAAGGACTGATCTGCAGTGGAGGTATCAAATGGCCCACAGTCCTTTCTCAATTTCAGTTTTTGGGGAAAGTGGATATTAGATACCCCCTTCTTTGCCATTTCCTCTTTCTCCTCCTCCTTTTTTTTTTTTTTTTTTAAACACATTCTGTGAAGATGGGGTCCATGTGAACTCTGCTTCCGATTGCAGGCATCGCTCTACTTCACCCTGGACAGTTCACCTCATAGAAGGTGGAAATACACTGTATGGAGGCATTCTTGTTGGTGTGTGTGGTGGGGAATCTTGCCTGGTTGCTCTCAGTGCACAGTATTCTCCATTAACCCCCGTGTTGTTTTGTTTTTGGCAGAGAGGTCCTCCCGGTGAGCAGGGGCCCCCAGGGCCTCCTGGGCCTCCTGGAGTTCCGGGCATAGATGGCATTGATGTAAGTTTGCATCTCCTTTGATCTTCTCATACCTCCTTGGCTTTGGATGAAGTTTTAAAGAAAGCAATGGTTGGTCCCTTTCTGTCCCTCCTAATAATAGATGCACGGGAAAGTTCTGGGTTGGATACTCTAGCCTGGGGGTCATTAGAGAGGGGACCTAGTCCTGTACCCGTTGCTCCATGGGGCATGGACTTCCACCCTTAGGCCCTCACCCTGGCTTCAGCCCCATATCTTTGCAGTGTGCAGGCTCGAGACGGTCCCGTGGGATCCCAGCTATCCTTGCTTATGAATTGCTTTTACTCTTTTCTCTTTCTCCAGGGTGACCGAGGTCCGAAGGGTCCCGTGGGCCCTCCGGTAAGTTGATTGGCATCTTGGTGCCTTGCTTCCTTCCTTAAGATGTGATTTGTAGCCACGTGTATTTGAAGAGTCTCAAATTTGCTTCGTTTTCTCTTCCTGCCTTCCCTTCTTCCTGCTTAGGGTCCTCCTGGAGATCCGGGCAAACCAGGAGCACCGGGCAAGCCAGGCACACCAGGCGCTGATGTGAGTAGGGAGTGTGTATGTGTGAGTGTGTGTGTGTCTGTGTGTGTGTGGGGGGAAGAGTGAGCCAGTAAAAGAAAGAGATAGGGAGGGAGAGGAGAGAGAGAGGGAGAGAGGGAGGGGGGAGGGAGAGAGAGAGAAAATGCTACAGTGGCATCCTGCAAAATGTCCTGGGACGGTTTCACAGCACAGAGCTTTGACGTCGCAGAAAAGTCTTGTCTTTATGGGTTCCCATCTATCAGTCACCCTATTCACCCTATAACCCTCACCTCCACTGCCTGCACAGGGAGGAGGGTGGTGGCATGTGGGTGCTGGTGGATGGATGGTTAGGTCTCCCAGCAGATGAGCTTTACTCTCCTCTGGCACTCCCTAGATTAATTAGAAAAGATGGAGTCAGAGTGACAGCTCAGTGGATAAGAACATTGGCACTGCTCATCCAGGGGACCAGGGTTCTATTCCCAGCCCCAGCTCACAACCATCTCTGGGAATCTGAGTCTCTCCTTGATGTCTGGGAACACTGCATGAGTGAGATACAGAGGTACACATGCATGCAAAACACACACACAAAATATATATATATATTTGTTCCAAGTAACTGGAGACATGTGTATGAATATAGTAGGGGAAGGAAATAGTCAACACAGATAAACAACAACTTAAAAATAAGTTTGGGAAACAGGAAGCTAAGGATCAGTTTGAGAAGATGTTCATATACCAGCTATATGGCAAATACTTCCCTGTGAAGTAGCTCCCACAATTTTAGCTTTTCAGCATCCTCTCTCTCCCTGCACATTACTCACAGCTCATTTGGTCTTTCATCAGGACCTGATTTATCTATCTATCTATTTATTTATTTATTGTCTTTGGGTTGCAAAGAGATGGCATTTGTTTTCTAGGATTCCTCAAGTCACTCTCCCAATCAACAATCACTTATTTTATAAAACCTAAAGGCTTTTCTAAAGAAAGCAAACACCTCAAAACCCATACCTGCTATTTCCAGGAATTTCTGTTGGTGATGAAGAAAGCTCCATGGTTCTGAGAGGACAACTTGCTGGATTGTAGCTGTTTCTCAGACACCTGTCGTTTGTTGTGATTAACTGGGTGCAGGTGTATGTTTTTGTATTATTTAGTGTTTCAGGAGACACCCTTTGTTTTACAGTTCAAAGCTTCTAATCTGGTTTCGTTTTCTTTTTGTGTATATATTTCAAATGGCAATGCATGAGCTCCTGTGGATTAACATGTAGATAATATCAACTCATGTTTGGATGCTACAAATGAGATTATGTAACTTGTTGGCTATCAAGACCTTTGAAATTGAATTACTTAAAACTGTCATATCCTAGTAAGAATGTTTCTTAAATGCCAGGGCTCTAGGTAAGCTACCAGTGTAGGTATAAGTTGACTTCCTCTCTACCATTTTGTGAAACTTCAGCCAGCCTTTCATTTTGGAGGAAGAGAAAATTTTAGATTAAATTTTAAAAATTATGGTTGAAACATGAACAATTCACCTAACATTTGTCTCTCAGTCCACCTGTTAGTTTATGTATATGAGATATAGCAGTGTAGCTCAACCTGGGTTGGAACGCACCATCCTTCCTCAGGGTGCTAGAATTGTAGGCATGTACCACCATATCTATAATTACCCAGGTAGTTCTTCAGTTTAATGGGGCCTTTGAAACTTGGTTCTTAGTAATTACCTTTGTCCCCAAGGTGGCCCATAAAAAAGTTTTAAATGTTTTATATTTTATTGGACTTCTGTGTACTGTACACAAATATTGATATTGATATAAATTTGAAATTAATTGGTTAAAAGAAGAAGAAGAAACCCAGGACAAAAGAGGAAAGCAAGGGACAGAGGGAAAGAAAGGTGGGAATAGGGAGAAAATTCACCCATGTGTGGGTGTTTTAGGCATCCTTTAGATCTGAGAGAAACTAGCTATGGCATTTTCATATGCTTAAAGTATTTTCCTCAACCATGGTCACAAATATTACTCCCTTCAGCTTTACTATAGCTTAGGAAATAGATTGTTCTCATGTTATTTTCCCATAAAGAGGAGACATGTAAAAATCATAAGGACAAATAATTTCCTCAGAGACATAGGGTTACATGGCTGCTAAGACAACAAAGGCTTTTGTATTTATTGAATTCATTTTAGGCAACTCAGTTCTACCTCAAGCTGTTACAAATGCGGTTCTTAACACTTTGGCAGTCAACCACCCTGAATGTGCTGGATTTCATCTTCTCAACAGACACATGGTTGCAAAGAGTAGAGGAAGAGAGCGATAGTGGATTTTAGTACCTAAGTTACCAATTAAGAATAATGATATGCAGTACAGTAAGAGTTGAAAATTGTTTATGATTAACTTGCAGTGATTGCTTGTAAGTACTTTAATGTTTCGTATCCTTCATCCTTTGAATCAGAGTCACTCAGGACTTCTGAAACTGGGATGTTTTCTTACTGCACTCTTATTGAGTTGACAATAAAGCCTTTCACAGTCACTGAGAAGGGACATTTAAGAACAGTGAGTAGCAATTCTGCAGAGTGTACCATCACCTCTGCCTAGCCACTGGGGAATAAAACACATAGGAAAGCACCGGAAGAACTATTTTGACAGTGATCGAGGAGGACCTTGATGTCCAATCTCTTTGTCTTCTGCTTTTTGTTTCACAGCGAAACATCTTTTTGGTGATGTTTTAAAAAATGATTACTGGAGGATGTTTGTCTGAATGTAAGAGAGGGACTGCATTTCCTATGTACAAAGGACTTTTGATAGATTTGTCATTATAGCCATACTTCTAGTAGTATGACTTGTTGTCACCACGTGAGCTGCTGGGATGCTGGAAGGAAACAAGAGGCATGATGCTGAGGACAGGTATTCCCTGACAAATGGCAATGTGAGGGCTCAGAGCACACCTCCGATATTGTTCTGTATGGAGCTCTGTCTGCATAAGCACCCATATGAAGGCAATTCTCTCTGCCATTGGAGAGATTTTCCTCCATAATTTCTTTGAAATTAGATCTGGAGAATTTTATTGCAAATTGGATTTTGAAAATTGTTCATGCTGTGTATGTTCATGTATTTCCAGTTGCTCTCCCCATCCATCGAAGCTGAGTCTTTTTTTTTTCTTTCTTTTGTCATTATATAGAATAGAGATGCCAGAGCCTGCTTATAAGCTTGCACCCGAGGGACAACTATGTTAGCCTTGTGGATAATAATCAATAGAGAGAGTATTGCAGGTGCCGTTCGTAGCAGAACGCTCAGAACGCTCTGTAAACAGTATTTTATTCTTACAAGAATCATGTGAGACAGGGAGGAGAAGCGAAATCACCTGTAGGGATTGTAGTTAAATTATGTGATGCCATACAGGCATGATGTCAAATGCTCTTTTCCTTTTGAATGGACAATAGCCTACATCCCTAAGAGATGTTTCATAACTGGTGTAGGTCAGTGTCCATAAGAATGGTTAGGCACTGAAGAAGTCTGAGGAGGCAAAGAAGAGTCATTCTGTGGTTAATACCCGGATTTGATTTGTTTATAGGAACCTTTCTGAATGAGGAATAGCACAGCTTAATGCTGTTCAGTTAAGCAACATGCACAAACACACAGTAGCAGGTAGGATTAGGGTCTGCACCAAATAATCAAAGAAGGACCCTTCTACACAAAAGGTGAACCTAAATTTAACATGTTCGTTCATCATGTATTGAGTGTGTTAGGTGCCATGGGCTATGTGCTAGGACTCCAATTGAGTATGGAGTCTTTTCTCCTCTTTTTCCCTTTGTCTCCTTTCCTCCCCTCTCTTTTACTCTCTCCTCTCCCTCTTTTCCTGTCTCTCATCTTCTCCTCTCTTTTTTTTTTTTTTTTTTTTTTTTTTTTTTTTTTTTTTTTTACCGAGACATGGTCTTGCTGTATAGTAGTCAAGCAAATTGAATGTAGCCCAGACTGGCTTTGAACTAGCAACTCTCTCACCTCAGCCTCCTGGGAGCTGACATTGCAGTCATGAACCTGGAGATCTATGCAAATATTTCATAACAGACTTCACTGCAACACCCAACATCAAATCCCCTTTCAACTTAATTCGAAGAACTTTCCAGCAATAGACATAATTGCTAAGATCCTATGAAAGGGATTATAAATCCCCCAGAACAGCCCCCACGTTATCTAACACTTACTTGATTATGCTTCGATATATTATGTATATTGTAGTTACTGTTAAAGCTTGAAGGGGACCTTGCATGGGGGGAACCATGGCAGATTCCATGGCAGGTGAGGGTGACCAAGGTGGGGGACAAACACTCAAGACAGGGGAAGAGAGTGGGGAGGGAGCTGTAAAAGAGCAGAGAGAGAGAGAGAGAGAGAGAGAGAGAGAGAGAGAGAGAGAGAGAGAGAGAGAGAGAGAGAGAGGAGAGCTAGAAAGAAAGAGCTTAAGTGGGCAGAGTTCTGTCTTTTAAAGGGGTCCTTTGCACCTGGTGCAAATTAGTAGTCGTGGAACCCTGGGCTGACTAGGGTACTGCCTGAGTGCATTCTGTCAGGTGACAGGGGCAGGCCAGCATAATGCCTGAATCCTTAGAGTTATAATCCTCTGCGGTTTCAATTATGCCGGTCACAAAATGAAGAAGTTGACTTTGTGTATGAAAACTGGCCAGGGTTTGTCTTTGAAGGTATATATGTGAAGTGGGGCTTACAGGATCCACTAAACGTGTCCCATAGTTTTGAAAAATGTATGTATAAAACATACACCAGGAAAGAACTCCTGGATATGTGGAGCATATCAACAGTTTATCAGTATTAGCATTCAGGAATTAATAATATCACAGCTCTTGTTCATGTTTCATAGTCTTGTAATTTGGCTAGGAAAAAAATGAATACTGAACTCTTAAAAACTGTGTATGTTTAATTTTGTTGTTGTTCATAAATTTCCAGTAACTAGCGTTTTATATTTTATTCCTTCTAATTTCTTTGGTTCACCTAATGGGATTGCTAGAGGACTTGATAAGAAAAAGATGTAAACATGTCAGGGCTGGCGAGATGGCTGAGCAGTTAAAGCTCACTTTTTCTGCCGATGACTGGAGTCGGTTCCCAGCAGTCATGTTGGACAGCGCACAATCACCCAATCCCAGGTGCTCCTAGATCCACAGTGACTGATGTCCTCTGGCCTCCTCAAGGACCTGCTCTCTCTCTTTCTCTCTCTCTCTCTCTCTCTCTCTCTCTCTCTCTCTCTCTCACACACACACACACACACACTCTCTCTCTCACACACACACACTCTCTCTCTGTCTCTCTCACACACACAATTAAAATTAAACATGTAAAAATGAGTGGCCACACGTTTTATATGAATCACCTTAAAGCATCCATTTGTTATTTATGACGTGAATTTTGACCATCTGTTTTAGACAGAGTTTTTCATAAGTTTCAGTAGGCCTCTTTCCCAATGAATATTTTTCAAAATTGATAATACAGATTTTATGGGATATTTATATGGGATGAGAAGCCAAAAGCAGATCCCATGTTAATTAAATGTTTTAAATAAGGATATATTGGGAGGTGTCACTTAATAAACACTTGCATTACCCATGTGTTAACCGACCTACAAATAATTAGTAAAAAGAAGCTTTCTGCCCAGTGGTTCTTCTAGGGCTATTCTGAAAGTGCTGACATCATTTTCTTCCTTCATTAGGGATTAACCGGACCTGATGGGTCCCCTGGCTCCGTTGGACCAAGGGGACAAAAAGTAAGTTAGCTGTTTGGTGTTAATTATATAATATTCTCAAATGCCAACAAAGTAACTCAAGAGAACAATTGCAAATCACCTGAAACACTGAACATCATGTGGGCTGGATTAATGATTTTTGGTATCTATTCAATTTGCATATGTCCATATTCATGCTACAAAGAGATGAGTGTAGTGAAGTTGTTTTTATTTTTTTTTAGGGAGAACCTGGTGTGCCTGGGTCTCGTGGATTTCCAGTAAGTATTACTAGTGATAAGGCAACAAAACAGAGAATCTATCTTTAGGTAAAATTCCTCCAGTGTGAAGAAAAACGTAATGCTGTTTTCCATGTAACACACACAATGAAGGGCATATGAGCCATATGATATAGTAAGTGTACCTATTGTGAGTAGAAAAGTTGGAAGGCATGGGATAAGTACACGTGATGTGTCACGTGGGATTTCTTAATGTGATTTTATTTTGAGGCAGAAAGAGTCTTACTCTATTGCCCAGGCTGGCCTGGAGGTTACCATGTAGCCCGGGATGGGTTTAATCTCACAGTGACCCTTCTGAGGTGTGAACCACAAGGCCTAGCTGCAGCTGGTGTTTCTGCCTCGATGCTGGGCAACATTGAGCAATAATAGCAAGGCTCCAGCGTGGTCTAATTTAAGTCTCAGCAATGCATCATGCCCCTCACAGCTGTATATCTGATAAGATCTCAGCTGATGAGCTCTCACCCGCCTCGTCCCTGCCTCGCTCACCAGAAAAGCACAGCGTTAGTTATCGCTGTGTGCAGAAGGACTAGGTTCTATGCGCTCTTTTGCTTGCTCTTTGTCCTCTTTGCTACTGTCATCAGTCTGTGTCCTCTCCCCATCTGACCTGCTTTCTCTGCTTCCTTTTATCAACCCTTCTCTTTTTGTCGGTCACCTTGGTTCCCTGTGGGTTCCACTTCTACTTTTATATCAAGTGTACGGACGTCATTTCACATAACTACTACATTATCGTGCATATTTTAATCTCCTATAACTTATCGTGTATATTGTTTGTCTTTCCGAGGCGGACTTAATTTGCCCACCATGGTCATCTCCAGTTGTCCCTGTTTCCTTGCTTGCTGGAGTGTGTTGTATATTGGGAATTGGGATGGGGAGGATAAGTAAGTTGTGGCTTCAGCCTGTGATCGTGTATGGTCTGGTGTGAATAAAGGGATATGAAGGACAGATGAAAGGGAGGTAAAATGAAGATCTTTACAACCAAATAGCACATTCCACGAAGATCCCATTATCAATTACTTCAGGAGGGTTATCAATTCAGTTTAAGCACCTACTAGAGTTAGTGCGTGGAAATAGAGTCATACCTGTTAAAAGTGGAATCCATCCACTTTAAAGATTTATTTTTTTACTTATGCATGTGTGTGAGCCTGCCTGAGTTTAGATGTACCATGTACATGCAAGTCCTTTGGAAGCCAGAAGGCACTGGATTTCCTGGCTTTGGGATTGAAGGTGACATGAGCTGCCTGGTGTCCACGCTGGGAGCAGGGGCTTGGGTTCCCGGTAAAAGCAGTAGCACTCTTAACCATGGAGCGATCTCTCCAGTCCAAAAGGGAATATATTTCTGGAAAAAAAGTTTTACTCCTCTGCCTGTCTGTGCCTACAGCCTGTTTATGGGAATGTGTAAATATCACTTATTACAACGCATAAAGCTGTGTTGTCTTTAATACAGACTTCTTATACAAATGATGAAAGTCTCTAAACCCTCTGGTTGTGATGGCCTCTCTGTGGGCAAGGGCAAACATAACTACCTTCTTTACTAATGTGAGAGAGCGAGCATAAACAGTTTCTTCTGTGACTGAGGACGAGCATAAATAGCTTCTTTACTGACTTTCTTTTAAAAATCCTAGCAACACCGTTCTGGTTGGCATGGAATCAAAGGAAGTCTCAGGGACAGAAACAAACTTCTGGCTTCATCTGAGGCACAGTGACATTGCTTCTGCCATCCAGGTTTTCTTTCCAGTGACCATCACTTTTCTATTTACACAGTGTTAGGAGTTTCAGCCTCTTGTGAACTAAGCCACGTCTGTGACTATGTTTATGTAATATTTAAAACACAAACCTTCAATGTTTTTATTTTGATCTTTTAGGGCCGTGGCATTCCAGGACCCCCTGTACGTATCACTTCATTATTTAATTTTTTAAAACATATTCTAGAGAATATTCTATTTCTAAAGACATGACCTGACCCTATACCTACCATTTAAACCAGTGGGACTTACAGACATTTCTGTATGATGCTACATTGCTCCTAACGACAGCATTCACTGTTCTGCAAAACAAAAATACCAATTAGGAAAATGTCCAATTTTGGGAATTTCTATTCCCTGTGAAATAATTAAAGGTTTGTTAAATGAATTACTGTCTTACTGCAAGCCAGAATGAGTAAAGATGGGTAATTCTAAGTCTGTTCTTTATCATCTTTGGTAGCTTTTATGATCGACTGTAAACATTTTTATAAATCAATTTGTCTCTTTGATTTGTGACTTCAGGGTCCTCCTGGAACCACAGGACTTCCTGGAGAACTTGGCCGTGTAGGACCTAGTGTGAGTACCATGGTGCCTTCTAACTGACATTTGATGACTTGAAAGGAGAAGTTTACGCCAGCTAAGCGTTTCTTCCTAACTTGCACGTTCAGTGTCCTATTAGAGAGTATCATATCATTATTAGACTCTCACCTAGAACTTTAATCCAGTGGTTTTTGTGTTAAACTATACATATGAAATTAAGCAATAGCACTCAGTTATCACCATGCATATTTATAATAGAAGCAATAAATTATAACCAGAAATTAATTCTAACGTATAGAAAGAAACTGCAATTGATTGAGAAAATTGTTGATAAAAAGTGCTAATGTGATATTCTAAAAACCTTGAAAATTGTTGAAGCATTAATATTATGAGAAGGTAGGAAATTATAATCTCATTGAGGGAAGGAGTCAGATGGCATGTATCTTTCTTGCTCTGTACATGGGTTTCCTGTTTGCAAAGTTACGAATATATATGTTACAAATGAAGGCATAACACAAATGATTGTGTATTTAAAATTATTTTGATGCTTCTGACATTTAATATAGAATATTAAGAATGAGAAATAGAAAAACAGGATGTTCAAAGTAATTTTATCACACTGTCATCTGAATGGATTATTATTTTAGCTACCTTTGCTTCACTGTCCGTTGCAAGAGTTCAGTGACAGATCAGACCAGGGGAGAGCAGAAATAAGACATAGATTTGCATAGATAGATTCTCTACTTTCAAATTTGGGTTGGATCCATGTTTTCTTTTGCTTTAATCATCTGGATGACACTAGTAATACTGGCTACTCTGGTTTGTAAACCAACTGGGTCAATACAACAGATTTCTGGCTTGTGTCTCAAGTGGGTGGAGTAATCACCCTATTGATAACTGGCTTTATGCCCCACCCTATGTTTTCCATCTTGGTAAGAACAGAATTTCTTATTTTCCTGGTGTTGGATGTCTAATTAGGTTTTGGTGGTTGGTCTATGCCTGAGTTCTGCTAGACATTCTAGTAATACCATTCTCCCATGCTTCCTTGGTTTTATGTACGGTGTTCTGAATCTTGTGTAACTACTGTGTCTCTATTTTGAAATGACCTAGGGTGACCCTGGGAAAAGAGGACCACCTGGCCCACCTGGACCCCCAGGACCCAGTGTGAGTAATTTCCAGCTTAAATTTCCTTTGTATCGGAGAGTAGGAACCGAAGAAATCTCAGAAACAGATGTGGAAATGTTTATTAAACAAGCCATTGTTCTGCATGTCCAAAATAGCTACTGTGTTTTCCTCCTCTTTTCCTTTTCTTTTCTTTCCTTTCCTTTTTTTTTTTTTTTTTTATCTTCTCAGAGACTGGTTCATTTTAGAACCAGGAAAGTAGAGGAACCACAATAATGAAAAGATGGTTTCCCACAGAAGTCTTGTTTGCAGCCTTTTGATAGTTGTGATTTCTTAAGAGCTTAAAACATTGCTATGCAGAGGAGGCATTTCCAAACAAATTGGTTCTAGCTAAGTTTTTCAGAGTGGAAATTACAAAAGTAGTTTAAGTATATGGTACTCTACGTTTTCATCCATGTACCAGAGTTGATATTGGCAGTCATTTAATTTCCCCAATGAGATGACCAAGTGTAGTCTAGGGACCTTTGAAGGTATCATGCATCAATAAGTCCTCAAATATTAACATACATGTTTCTATTTTTCCTTGTGTTTCATAAAATAAAACTCTTCTTGTATTTTTTCACTCATTATATATTACAAAATATATACTATATTTTGAAGATTCTATTATTCATACTATTTTTATTCTTAACTTTTGTATTTACTTACTTCAGGGAACAATTGGATTTCATGATGGAGACCCATTGGTAAGATATTTCCTTTGAATACAATATGGTTTTTAATTCTTTCTTATTAGCATATGCTAATATAAAGAAATGAGTTTAATCATGATGCTCTATACATGTGTGCAACACGGTAGTTTTCACTTAAAGACCATGTGGTCTTCAGACCATGTTGTCTTTAAAATGATCTGACTGGAATGTGCTAGACTTCCATGTTTTACTTTGACTGAGACCACAGAGCCATGTGGACTGTCTGCTCATGTATTCTCAGGCTATATGATTGTTTTCCCCACAGGAGAAGGATCTTTGTTTCTTCTTCAGCCTGTGGCTTTATGCCTGAGGCGTGGTTTCTTTCTACTGGAGTACCCCAATTTTGGGAGATGCTCTGGGCAGTCAAATGACAGTGGTAAAGGTCACTGATGTAACTCTGGCCCTGTGGTGAAAGGCCATGTCGTCAGAATGGGGCTATTTCAATGGGGAAGGAAGAGACCAGACAAGGTCATGCTATACTCCACTGATTTAAGAACTTCATTTCTTTTATTAGATCTGAATTCAATGATACATGATACTGTCTTAACATGTGGAAGGTGTGCACATGGCAGGATATCTGTTGGATTCTCCATATTTTTCTCTATTTAAAAGAAAAACAAATGAAAGGGATATTCAGAGTTATCTGATGAATATAATTGCTTTGGGGTTCTATATCTGAACTTGGAAAAAAGTTCCAAATTCTCACAATATGGTTGCTCTAGTTTATCTCTCCCCCTTCTCTTTGTCAGTGCCCCAATTCCTGCCCACCAGGTCGCTCTGGATATCCAGGCATACCAGGCATGAGGGTAAGAATAATTCCATTATTTTATCTCCAAAAGTATGGTATGTGGAGGAAGAGGGGAATATTTAAGCGCGGGACTTGGATGGATTAGTCAAGTCTACCTTTGCTCTTTCTGTCTGTGGTACAAATCCAGCCCAGAAATTCTGACTAGTACTCCTGATGGGCCCCTACTAGATATACGTGCTTTGTTATAGAATGTAGTTCAGGAAGGAAATGCTTGCAGCATGCGCTGGGCCAGGAAACATGGACAGGAAAGCAAGGGCTCGATGTTTGCCTTCTATGGGCGAAGACAGTGATAGGGATGTGGAGGGAGACTGTGTAGATGAGAATTTGAGAATGCTCTGGTAAAAATAATAAAATGATAATAGCAATAACAATAATGATGATGATGATTGGGTAAACTTCAGAATAGATTTTCCTGAAGGTTGTTTTTCTCCCTCTCTTCCATCATGATACTTCAAAATGCCTATTGTGGGGAAAAACACAAACCTGAATATACTGGGGATAAATTGCTTTCCCCTCTAGTCTCTGAGTATATTGTGATTTTGAGAAATTCCATACCCTTCCTGCCCTGCTATGATCTGGAAGGCCCTGAGGAGAGAGCACGGGTTTCCCAAAAGGTTTTCTCTAAGAGCAATTTGGTGAGTTCTCTGAGTGTGGAAGATTTAGGCCTATATGGGAGGAGTCCTATTTTCCAAAATATGAGAGAGGAAGAGAGAGAGAGAGAGAGAGAGAGAGAGAGAGAGAGGGAGGGAGGGAGGGAGGGAGGGAGGGAGGGAGGGAGGGAGGGAGAGAGAGAGAGAGAGGAGAGGTAAAAGTTCTAGCAGACCTGATTTGGGAACTTTGTCTCACAGTTGGTCGGGTGTTACCGCTCGCAGCCCATGTGAGATCGGCACCGAAGTCCCTGCCCCCTGCCATGGTGGAGCTTTTATTTTCACCCTTTGCTCCTCCCTTTTTGTACTTCCCACTGTGGAAGGAAGGGGCTGTGCATCGGAGACATCTACTCTCATGCCAGCTCTTCCTCTCTCCAGGAAGGAGTTGACCAGAGAGGCGGAAGATGAGATTCTACAGCAAGCGGTCACCAGAGAGCAAGTGATAGCTGGCTCAGTTTCTGAGCTGGTTAAGTTACTTGTGCTGGAGCAGACTGACCTCTCTCAGCCTAACCTTGGTGGGGAAGCTGGGGAAACTGGACGAGAAGGCGGGTTCCAGTGCCTGGGTAGCAGAGTAGTTGGTAGTCTAGAGGAGTGTTTTCCTATCAATTAAAGCCGATGCTTGTTATATAAATGAGTCACGGAATGTACATGCTTTTGTTACAGCTCCCAAGGCAGTGTTGTGCTTTGTGACATAATCTTTTGTTGTATTATTTTAGCACAGATTCAGGAAAGCAGAACAGTTTTATGAGCCTTCTGGCCACTTTTGGTGTCAAGACCAATGCAACTTCATTTATTTGTATTTTTCTATTTTTTTTTTTTTTATGTTTGTTAGGGTCATAAAGGGGCAAAAGGAGAAATTGGTGAACCAGGAAGACAAGGACACAAGGTAAGGGAAATGAGCATTAGGTGGGTCAAATGTGGTTAAGGGCCATAATAATTTTTCACTATTATAAGGAACAGTGAAGTGTGGTATTTTATTTCTTTGGCAAGTAAATGCCAAATGTATTCTAAGTACGGTATTTTAAGCTGTTCAGTTATTGAAATGACAAGGGAAGAATCAGAAGTTTCATATTTTCCTCTGTATGGAGTGCATTTTCTTCCCGTCTCAAATATATCATATTTAGATTTTAAAAAAATCAAAGCTGATGATAGCCACACATTATGTCTTTAATTGTTCTACCTTCCCATAGTTATAAAGTTGTGCAAGTGTCCTGAAAGTAGGACATGCAGGATTTAGTAGATAATTGGCTTAGAAGTCCTCTTCTCAAGACCTGAACTAATTTGTCTATTTCTCATCTCATTCCCCCATAACTTGGGTTTAAAATAGTGGAAGTTGGTGATGACATGTCATTAACATGTTATCGGGACGGAAATATAGACTCTATATCACATTGGGGTTGACACACCTTCCAAAAAAGGCTAACAGGTACTTAAAACGAGGCAACTTTGTTGCCAGTTCTTCATTTGTAAGTATCTAATAATTTTACTTCCTGCATAGTCGACTCTTTCCTCTTAGTGAATTTTATAATATTTTACAAGCCATACCACTCTTATTAGTGTAGGACTGCTAGACTTTGTTGATTGTGTCTGTTCATATAATTGCTAGGTTATAGTAAATGCTAGCCTTTTTCTTCAGCAGTAATGAGCAGGAGAGGCAATTTATTTTTTGAGTAAAATATCTTTGAGTATTAACATCCTTGAACTCCTCCTCAGCCCAAATCAGTCTGTTGAATAACCTCACTTGTATAATCAGGATAAATAGGCCAATTTTCTGTGCCCTATTACAATTTGCAAATTATTTTCAGTCATTAATTAGGAAGGCTGTGGATAGTTAGGGTATTCTATTTATCTGGAATGAAACAGCTGGGTTTCTGATGTCAAACTTGAATAAAATAGAAAAGGTGAATGCCTGTTTCTCTGCATGCTTATTCCTCCCCTGAATTTTAAATTTTGTAATTTTCAAAATCCAACCAATATTTATCAACTACCTGCTATGTGCCATGGTTTAGTCAAAGTTCTGATGTTCAAAAGTGAACAAAAGTAACGCTCAGTCACAGGGGATTGACTAAATTGAACATGATCTATTACTACACGAGAAGACTAGCTAGCCATTAAACCAGGCAAGCAAGAACATTAAATTACCCTGAGAGATATTTTTGAAGTATGTGTAGGAAAGCAAAGAGTAGACTTCCAATTGTTCGAATGCTTTCATCCATTTCACCCTGAGCTGTTGACCTCTTTCCTTCCGGGAATCACCCCTTATCCCGTGGGACTTGGAGCGGTTAATCAGTGCATTTCTCCCTCATGCCCATCAAACTAACTATCTTTGGTGCACACAGATTAACTAGCTATATGGAACCTAAATTTGTTTTTGGTCTTCGAGTGGGAAACTTGCTTTTTTTTTTTTTTTTGCATGTTAGTCAATTGGGTAAATGTCCACGGTGATTCCCTGAGTTCATTAGATATTTTTGTGCAAACCTAAACTTTGAGTGGTGACTTTCAATATTGGCATAAGAAGGTGGGATGGCAGTACAGGCCACTGATGATTGAATCATGGAAGAACTGAGTCTGAACTCTTGGCAGAGGGGCCTGGAGGTCTATCTGCATTTGGCACGCAGGCCCACAGTCTGGCTTTGAATGTATCCTTCAAGTTAACTAATAAAGATTTAAAAACTTGATGAATACAAGAATAACTAGTGAAATCATAATGATAAAACTATGGTCCTGGAGCCATTAAACTGCCATTCAGTCAATATCCATTCAAAATTTCTCCAGTAAAATGATAGATAATAACTATGGTCTCCTAAACTTGTCATTTCAAGCTTGTGAGTATTGATTGGGCATGCACTTTTTGTCTGCAGGAGAAATGTTTAATTCAAATTTATTTCTCCAAGTTTTATGGGAAATCTATGAGAAATATGCCACTGGCTGATAAGAAAATTTGCAGAGGGCTATCAGTCATTGTTGTTTGTGCATGGCTTTGATCGCTCTGTAGAAAAAGCAAGCAGGGTTTAATCATATCTATGAGGTGCTGGAGAGATGGCTCAGCAGTTAAGAACACTTGAGGCTGTTGCTGAGAGGACCCTGGTTCAGTTCTCAGCATCCACATGGCAGTTCAATACAGTTCCTGGGGATCTGCCACTTTCTTCTGGCCTCTGCAGACACCACACAAACACACACACACACACACACACACACACACACAGACACGACACACAGACACTGACACACACACAGACACCACACAAACACACACATGCATAAACACACAGACACGACACACAGACACTGACACACATACACACACAGACACACACACACACAAAACACCCATACACATAAAATAAAAATAAATCTTTTTCACGTAATAATTATCCAGCTAATTCAGCAGCTTTTAACTTGGAACTGTCTCTTTCCACTGTCAATCATAAGTTTTAGTGGAGTACAACTTGAAATTAATTATGACACTAAAGAGAGTAACTTAAAAATTAAGTTCCAGGGTTTGTGAGATGGCTCAGTGTGTAAACGTTCTTGCCATCAAGTCTTCCTTAGTTTGATCCCCAAGATTATGTGCTGGTAGGAGAGAACCAAATCCCATGAAGTTATTCTCTCCTACTAGCACATGGATGTGGTATATGTGTGACTCCTCTGATTAAATAAATGCAACAACTTTAAATGTAGTTCATTGAAACATAACTCTAGTTGTTTGGTATTAAGTGGCTAAATGTTATCTATTAATACTACCATTAAATTTTCTGGGTGTACTTGGTTTTTAGTGTGTGTGAAAACCATCTGTAAATATAATAAATAACCTATGGAAATTATAATGTATTACAATTATCTTTATATAAATAGCATCTATCAATCTAACACATATGAATGTAACACAAAAGTATAAGCAAGAAAATGAGCCAATAAAATACATATATAAATATTGAATAACAGAATTAATTTTAATATGTAATATAATTAAGGAAATTTACTCATAAACAACCTCACAATTAACCTCACAGGGTGAATAACTTCACACTGAAATTTAAAGTGGTATATTTAGAATTTTCTCAACTTATAGAGTCAGACCTTTCTCTTTCTTTTTCTTCTATGATGCTGGAGATTTGAACTCAGGGCTTTGGCATGCTTGACCAGTGTCTGCCTCAGGACTATATCCACAGTCCAGGGAGCAGGCTTCTTTATAGAGTATTCTAACATGTTAAAGTACAATAGACTTTATAAAATAGCAAAAAGTCCAAATAACAATTAGATAATATGCAAGAAGGACCCAATGATAACGAAACCCAAAGGCAGATTACTTTGAACAAATTTCAGCTGTACTCAAGCCTAATATGAAGAAAATGGCATAACTTTACTCATTATAAAAAAACAAAACAAAACAACAGAAAAAGAGTTTACTAAGTAAAGGTGTTTTTGTGACAATACTCCCAAGGATTCTGTGTTTAAGTTGTGTGTGTGTGTGTGTGTTATCTGTGTGTACATTCTGTGTGTGTGGGTGATGTGCATGTGTGTGTTATGTGTGTGCAGTGTGCATGTGTGTATTGTGTTCATATTCATAGGCACACACACCAGTGTGAATAAGTGAGGTCAGTCAAGCATATTGGGTGTCCTGTTTCATCAGTCTCCACTTATTCTCTTGAGGCAAGCTCTCTCAGGGAACCTGGACCTAAGCGAGCAGTCACAAGCATCAGAGTCTCCTGTCCCTGCCCTTCCCCATCCATAGCACTTGGGTGATAGGAACGTGTGCAAGCCATAAGCAGCTTTTTTCGTGTAGGCTCTGGGGTTCTCATGTTAGCACAGCAAGCATTCTTACCCAGGACACCATCTGTCCATTTCTGACCATTGAATCAAGTTCATCTGGAAGAGTCAACATTTAGGCAAATATAAGAAAGAAGAGTGCCTATAAATAAAACATATAGGGAGATTCTTACTACTGGCGATGAAAATGTAGTATAAAAATTCAGTAAGTAAAAGCTTTGGTGACAGTGATGTCACATACCAGGTCATCAAAATAGGATCAGAGCACTCCAGCTCACATTTTCCACACTACATTGAAAGCATTTGTTTAGTCAATACATGATACTAAAGTAAGTATCTGATCACAACAGAGATATGTTTTCACCAAAATTAAATTATTAATAAGTATTTTTTGCATAAACTGTAACGATGGAACAACTCAAAGGAAATATAAATGAATGCTCATGTTCTTAGTGGTGACCATGGCCTTTCTGTTAGTGATACCATAGGTATAACGCATAAAAGAATTGATCTGAGTACATTATCTTTGTGCATCACATTATGATAAAGCAAAATGTAAAGTATAACAAAATATCTTAAAGTAGAAGGTTTCACAATGTAGCTGTATTTTCCTAGTAACACTTGCAACCTAATTCTCCCTCCCTCCTTCTCTTCCTACTTCTCTTTAGGAAACCTCAAAAGAACAGCTTCTAAGTCTTGATGGGTGACTCCCTGTGTACTTATCTGCATGGCCTGAATACCATGCAATTAACATGGACTACCTATATAATCTAAAAGGACACAATAGTACTAACCAGAGGACTGAGCAAGACCTGGCCTATTCATTTGCTAGTTAATATTTACTCTTGATTTTTCTCTGCTGCTTTTTAGGGTGAAGAAGGTGACCAGGGAGAATTGGGAGAAGTTGGAGCTCAAGGACCCCCAGTAAAGTATTTTTTAATATTTACATAGGATAAGTAAATATATAAGAGTTCACATTGTACTTTCAAGAATTTTTTAAGAGAAAAGTTCTAGGTAAAATTGTATGTAGCCTGCCTCCAAGACTTCATAACCTGAAGGCAAGTGTTGAGCATAAGGGGATGATACTTTTCAAATTCTGCAGTGCTCTGGTGTTACAGAAGAGGACATCTTGTATACCTTGAACACAGAGGGTTTATAACCTGTGGGATTACTGTAGTTCATTCCAGAAAGTGATCACAAATTAGGATGCTCTTAGTGGCTCAATAACCATGTCTCTTACTGCAGTTTCTCAATGGCGTGGGTGTTCTGTAAGACAGCTGGACGTAAACATACTTCACATTTAAGATGTTTGTTAGATTGGAATTAGTTAATTTGTACTATATGGAGGCGCAATTTTTACTCTTTGTCCTAGTCTGAATTACAGAAATAACAACTGTTGAAGATTCCTTGAACACCTGAAGCTTGCTGAAGTATAGCTGATGTAAATGACTGCTACCAAAAAAGCCAGAGAAGACAACTCAAGTTCCCTTTCCTGCATTGCTTGTCCCCTCCAGATTAGTCTTTTTTTTTTTTATTTTTTTAAAGATTTTATTTATTTTATATGTAGGAGTATTTTGCATGCACATATGTATTGCACCACATGTATACAATGCTTACAGATGCCAGAAGATGCCTTAGAACTCAAGAAATAGACAGTTGTGAGCTGCCATGTGTGGTGCTGAGAACCGGAGCCAGGTCCTCTGCACAGGAACTCAGTGCTCTTAATTTCTGAGCCATCACTCAGCCCCCAGGACTAGTCTTTAAAAGGGGTTAGAGAGGCTGTGATGATCAATGTTTACTTAGAGTTCAAGGCTAAAAGTAATGGTTATGAGCATCTAAAAGATGGTTTCTTCTGGGGCACATGAGACCTTCAAGAACTTTGTGGAAGAGTCTAAATATTTTCTTCAGAAGCTTGCCTTCCCTGAGCCTTTGCTAGGAGGCATTAAGGAGATAGACTCTTATTTCCTGGGGAACAGTGTCAGATAGTGTAGTTTGCTTTTTGGATCTAATGAAAATTATGTTTGGGTTTATATATTTTCAAGAAAAAGCCATTCTCAAAGATTATGGAGTTATGTTGGGTAGCTCAAGGGATGCAATGGGAATTGCCCTCAAAATTTGCTGGCCTGGTGTTTGGGAGGAGGTATGTCCAAATGTTTCTGGAGAATTCACAGATTTTTACCTCTTAATATAGCACCTTTATAAAGCAATGCATATATGTATAAAAGGAAAATTTCTATTATGTATTTGTAAAAGGAGTATTCCTTTTAAAGGGTTATTTATGGAGTTCCTGATCACGACTTTTTAGATCTTCCTTCCTTCCTTCCTTCCTTCCTTCCTTCCTTCCTTCCTTCCTTTCTTCCTTTTGTACAGGAATTATCCACATAGCCAGTAAACAAGCTTAAGTTAGAGTGCTTAATCTGATATGGCCACATTTCACTTGAAAAACCCAAGTTGTTAATACAGCTTGGCTCATACTATACTTCAGAATTCTGACTAACATGCAGAGAAATTGTGACTGAACTATGTAGATGAAGGCTGGTCCTGGAACTGTCCGTTTGTTCCAAGTGTGAAAGATGAAGGCAGTAGCCACCTGGAAGCATGGTTATCTTAAACCAATGCAGAAAGTCAGCAGGTGTCAAAAGTAGTTGACCTCCAGTGGTGCACGCATTCACAGCTGTGCCCCAGGGAGCATCCATGCCCACCCTTTACCAGGTGCTTTATGGAAGAATCCTTTGCCGTGAGACAAGCAACATTTCAGTACTAAAAGAGAGCCTGAAGACCTCTCCACACTCATGTTTAGGCTTGTTTACTCCTGCACCTGTAACTTCTTACTGAGTCACGTTGGAGTTCAGAACACCCTTTATCATAGGGATAGAATAATAAATACTGGTGGAGTGGTTGATGGACAGTCTAGCTCTGTTCCTGTTAATACACTTTTATAGGTTCGGCGGGCATTGCCTTCCTTTGGTCGCACGGATTTGTAGGCAGCAATCAATTTAAGAGTTAAAACCGTGTTACCCCCTAACACACCCCAAAGCGGTGGAAATGGGAGTGCAGTTCTGCCTGTGAGTTAAAAGAAAAAACTGGGAAAAACACTGTCACAGTTGCTTGTATTTACTTTTTTTTTTTTTTTTTTTGGCCGTCATCAATCATTGCGTCAATTCAATTTGCATAGAGTTGTAGACATCTTTAGAATTTTACCAAAGGGTGTTAAAGCATGAGAATTTTATCTGAATTTTTCTTTCTAAACTAGAGATGTTGGCCTATGTATGCTGTCACCATCTCTTAGTGTCTCCTTTCATTATGGTGACATGCTTTTCCTGGATCAGCATCTGCAAAAAAAGTGTGTGCCTTGACTGAAATAATTTACCACCCCTCCTTGCTTTTCCAGGGAGCTCAAGGTCTGAGAGGCATCACGGGAACAGTTGGAGACAAAGGAGAAAAAGTGAGCTGTCTATGATACTATAAAAGTGATTTTACCTCCAGTAGTTTATGTTTCATGTGTTTATATGTTTTTATAATACCAAATCCAATGCATATTTTGTAAAGATTTACAGTGACAAGGAAACCTCGTGTAATTATTAAGTATAGAGGCATTTCCCTCCAAATAGTTTTGGTGGCATTCATGACATGGAACCCATGGGCATGGGGGAGTACTGTCTTAGGTAAAGTGGGGATGTACTGTTCTAGCTGTGTTATTATTTGTAGCTGGTGCTCACAGTACTGGCACAATGCTGCAAGTGCTTCTGGTCCAACGAGACAAAGACAAGGGAATACAGAACAGGAAAGGTAGGATCCCGAGACCGTGTCAGCTGCTCTGCCTTAAAAGGGGACCATACAACTGTGGCCACAGTCACAAGTCTGTCCTTTGCTAGTGTCAGGAGTCAGGCTTTCCTGCTCTTCCCATGCAAGGCATCTGCAAGCTCCGAGGACAGTTAGAAGAACAGGCTTACATGTATTATTTCTTCAGAGAAGCAGGTAAGTAGAGATGCAATTATGATACGATGAGGGAAGATACATATCTGAACTCAGGCAGTGCAAGGAAGTTACATTGGCTTAGTCTTGATACGACATCTGGGAGGGCGGGCCCCTGGCAAAGCTGACTTCAGAAGGTGATAGAGGATGAGGTGCAGTTGACGGTGAAGGATGAAGACACACAACGCTTGGTGGCGTGACTATCCTAAGGAAAAACCATGGGAGCCACTTACAGTATCCTCAGCAATAATGCTTTGGGGGGGGGGCATGTGTGTGGTCATGTGTCTAGTGTTTGGTGCAAAAACACAGTTACTCTTTCTTAGAAAGTTTATTTTGAAAGTCAGTTTGTAGACTACAGAATGTTTAAATATTTTCATTTTGGACCCTGGCCTTTCTCTTTTTTCAGAGCCATTATTTATTTATTTATTATTTTGGCTAATTTGTATCAGTTTCATATAGCAGAGTGGTTTTATTTACAATTAAGTAACGGGAAGAGTTCATCGTTGATATATAATGTTTCAAATGAAACTCTTTTGAGAAAAGCTGCATGTCCTGTGAATGGCAGGCCTGCGCTGTCCACCACACTTTCTTAAATCACTCTCTTTACTCTTGATCTTTTCTAGATATTCTCTGCCTGTTTTCTTTTTCCATTTCCTCTTAGGTATTTCTTTAAAAAGGCACGCCACACTGAAGCCCCATATTGTTTTTACATCCACACCACTTTAAGTAACATTCGATGTGCATCTCCCAGTTATTAAGTAATAAAGTCCATTTATTTCCATGCAGCTAACACCCAGGCTATCATTTTTCCCCCGTGGATTTAGCTCACCCCATAAAATAAGCGACCTCTCCTTGAAACCAATTACTGTTCTTTATTTGAGGTATTTCTCTATTTGATATTTTTCAAAATTTTTCATTTCTCTTCATTTCTATCAAATTGCTTAAAAAAAAAAAAAGACAGCTCCCCTTGTGAACACAGCTGTGGAATGGTTACCTAGTAACAGCAGTTTGGGGCTGAGCTCACACTGAACCACAATAAGGTAGAGATCTAGCCAGTGCATCAAAGCCACTCCTGTACCGCAAAGGCTGGGGTGTGCTCTCATAATGCAAGGTGGGGATGATGAATTCAAGGTCCTTTTCAGGTGTTCTTAATCCTTTCTTTTCTGGTGAATGGAGAATGGCTGTGTTCTGTTCTAGTTTTTAGCGATCAAAGAGTTTCAGGGCTCTGTGGTACCTCTGCTTCCACAGTGGTTTTTTTTTTTTTTTTTTTTTGTCCCCTTTGAGTCCACCTGTGTCTGAACTTTCTATCGCATGTGTTCTAGTTTTCCATTCTTACCAGGCCCACCTGGTTTTGCTGGCCTGACATCTATCCAATGCTCACTGACTTCTTTCCACTTCTTTTTATCGCCTCCGCACTTCATCCACATTTTTAGGACACTGTCTGTCCATCCACTCAAGTCATCCTTGTGTTTTCTCCATGCTTTGTAGATGAGAGGAGCATTTCGAGATGGAGAGTGTATTTTTTTCAAGGGGAATATGTAGTGAGCACAACACCCACTGTAGTTTTGGCTTTAAAAGAAAACCACCCTTTGATCTAATGAAGAAAATAGAGAGATGGTGTCTGTAAGGCAGCCAAGTCAGAGATGGTTTCCAGAGGACTAGACTTGAACAGTTTAAACAGTTCCTATGTCATCACATTATAGAGTGGATTACCTGAAGAATACAGGTTGATTACAATAAATAAGAATATCAATCCAGGAGTGGGTTTGTCTAGATCCTCTAAGAGTCTAACAGTTCCCTCTTCCAGATCACAGTCATGTGACCAGGGATGGGATGGTTATTTCTAGAGTCGCAGAAGATTTTCTCATATCTGGGCCACTGCAGAGTCCACTGGAGCTACCCCTAAATTCACACTCAACACTCAACATCTCCAGCATTAGTGAATTCTCACAGCTATTCTGAACCTTCTGAGGTTGACTGCCAAACCTTGTTGAGTAGATCTGCTAAGATCCCTGAATAAGAACCAGTTTTCAGCTCATGTCACCAGTTGAGTATAGAGCCATTGTTAATTTAAAATATCCAGAATGATATCAAAGATTGTTCCAAGTGCTATTGGAATGACGAGTAGCCTACACTATGGCTTCATGTCCTAAGCATCCAATGAATTACTCCTTAGTGTTCATTCACAAATATAGTATGCAATAAAAGCGTAAAGGCCCCCTTTGTTTTGGCTGACATACTTCTTTAGAAAGATGATGATGATGCCCTTTAACATGCATGACTGACCTGAGTTTTATTTCTTTGTCTTGTTTCCAGGGTGCTCGGGGATTAGATGGAGAGCCTGGGCCTCAGGGCATTCCAGGGGCAGCTGTAAGTAGTTTTTCTTTCACAAAACAAAACAAAACAAATAAACAAACAAAACAACAGCGACAGATTTTTTTTTTTAAGCAATGATATTCTCCCTTCCCTCTCATACCCTCTCCTCTTTCCTCATCCCCTCCTCCTCCCTCTCCTTTATTCTGATACATCATCTTGCTATGTAACGCTGGCTGGCCTTCAGCTTGCAGTGATCCTCTGGTCTCAGCCTCTCAAAGGCTGGGATTACAGGTGAATGCTAGCATATTCAACCAAAACACATTTCTAAGGCTTTAGCCCAGTTTTCTTTTTGTCTTTTTTTTTTCTATCCATAGGGTTATACACAATAATAGGGATACATGTCAATAATTGAAATAATTAAAAAGGACAAATAGAAACCAGGTCTGGTAGTGCAGGCCCATAACTGCAGCTACTTAAGAAAGCAGGGGCAGAGGAACCCCAAATTCAAGGCATGGTTAGACTACAGAGTGACTTTAAGGCTAGCCTGACCAACTTAGTGAGGCCCTGCCATAAAATAAAAAGAGGGTTGGGGACATAGTTCAGTGGCAGGGTGAAAGTTACTAGGCTCAATCCCCAGTGCCAATAACTAAATAGAAAAACGAGCAAAGGTTTTCATATTTATTTAAAAATGACAGTCTTTCTTTTGGGTACAGAGAACTATTTCCCTGGTTTTCGTAGGGGGTATGCCCTATGGTTGCCTGTTTGTGTGACTATGTTTTCCTTTTGCTTTGGTTGCTAGGGTACTTTGATTGACAACGGTGACCATGTTTCTGGGTCCTAAGCAGTTTTTCTTTTTCCTCTTCGATGGTTTCTGGTCTTATTTTTCCACACTTGGACTACCATGTATGCATGTGCCATTACTTAGACTGCCCCACACCTTTTTTGAGGATTCACAGATAAAAATTCATTCTTACTCATCTATACCGCAAAAAAGGTAGACATGACACATGCAAGACAAAATTTCTCACTATCAAGATACGACGGGGAAGGCAGGATATGACTCAGTGATGATCAAATGCTTGAATTGGGATAGAGGCAATTCACAAGAGCACAACTGATCTGGAAAGCCCTTCTGGGAAAGGAAGCCTAGTGCAGGGAGTGCTGTTGGTGGTGATGGTATTTGTGTTATCACAGGGCACCTGCTGCCTAGATGAGAAGAGGAGACTGAGTAGATCAAGTAGAAATGCATTATAGGGGCAGAAATGCATCATAGGGGATGTCTAAGGAAGCAGAAATGGATTGCAGGAGATGTCTAGTATGAAGCTGACCAGTCTGAATTAAGAAATAGAAACAGAGAGCCAGGTTAAGCTTGGAGTAGTTAAACAATTCCCAAAACCTACCTTTTAAGAAAGACATCTTCTCATCTGTAGCAGGTGTCCTTAGGTGGATACTTTTTACAGAAACTATTATTATTGAAGTGGGAACTAAATAGCAAAGAGGAAACAGTGTCTAACCCATACCTCAGCCTACCATAACAGTCAATGAGATTAGCTTATATGTAGATACAGTAAACTTTGTTGTTGCTTTTAAGGTGGAATTCAATCTATTTTACACGTTCAACCATGGCACAGAACCATTATGCATCTAAAATTAAATCAGGAGACACACAACCTCACTTATTCCTACAGCAATACAATAATCAAGACTATAATTTTTACAAGATTTTTTGAACCGAGTATTTGTGATAGATCAAAGTCATTGTGGACAAAGAGCAACAGTTACTCAATAGCAGCAGTTGAGATGGCTTAGTGGTTTAGAACACAACTTCCAGCACCCACATGGCAGCTCAAAATCATCTGCGACTTCACATCTAGGGGGTCCGATACCATTTCTGTCCTTCTCAGACACCAGGCATACATGTGGTGCACACACATACACACAGGCAAAACATCCATACACTTAAAAAAAAAAGAAAAGTTACTCTGTAGTCCTCAATGTGGCTGATGCTTTCTCACTTCCAAACACCCCCAAGTAAGTCATCTTTGTTCACATTGGGAACTTCTGCATTTATACAGGGTGATCAAGGACAGCGAGGCCCCCCAGGAGAAGCCGGTCCCAAGGGAGACAAAGTGAGTATAGACGAGTCCTCATCACTGCAAAGCATTCCGAATTTCTGAATTATCTGTCCATTTTGTGTATCTGCTCGACCTATGCTTTGCACTCATTGAAGATGCCTTGTTTCCTCCTTCTCTTCTGCCCTACAGGGTGCTCAAGGTTCCCGAGGAATTCCTGGATCCCCTGGGCCCAAAGGAGACACGGTATGTCCCGAGCTATATAGCACAGTTCCCAAAGTTCCCGAATTGCCACGAAACTTCAGGAAATAACGTGGAGAAGAAGAATGTGACTGTTTCTAAGACACAGTGTGCTCTTTGTGTGTCCGCAGGGCTTGCCAGGTGTAGATGGTCGCGACGGAATACCCGGAATGCCAGGGACAAAGGTAGCTGTGTGATGCAGTTCTGTGTGAGTGGGGAATGGGGGCATCTCTGCCCTGGACAGCTAAGCTCGGCGTTTTCATAGCACCGTTACCAGGACGTTTGCTTAAACAGCTCTGCCATTTTTTTTTTCCTCCTCTCTTTCAATGTTTGAAATTGCTAACTGCAAAATACTTATAAAAATAGTCCACGTATGTGCTTGCCTTAGGAAATCAGTAAAATAGCCCCATTGATGAAGGCAGACTGAAGGAAACTCTGTTTGAATGGGTGTCCTGTGTCCTACCCACCCACCACCTATCCCGAGCTAAGTAATTAAAAGTGCGTCTAAGGTAGCTGCTGGAATTTTTTTTTTTTTTTTTTTTACCTAAAATGTCTGCACTCCTCTTTCTTAGAAGAACACATCACAAAGGAACAATTGTGTGATTAAGAACTTTGCTTTCAGGGTGAAGCAGGAAAGCCTGGACCTCCTGGTGATGTGGGGTTGCAGGGGTTGCCGGTATGTGCTCATCTTTGGTTGCTTACATGTTCATGTTTTATGTACTTGATTAAAAGAAAAAGATGAATTCCGAGGGATGGATGCATTATGCAATTTGTTAAATTCTGAGGAAAACATGATGCTCTGTGTTTTGTTTTCAATGTTTACATTTTTGATGTTTCCCTCCTGTGATTAGCTGGTCATTTGACCAGAAAAGCATAAAAAGTGTAATACATTCTGCTTACGCACTAGTTTTATGATTTGGGTCTGCCTTCTCTATTATCTTCCTTAAATAGTCCAGGGTAGTGGATTCTGTTCCGTTTCTTGCCTTGTTTTTAGACAGTCTTGGAGTTCTTGTTAGCAGGGCTGAGACACAAGGGGATGGAAAGATTTCTCAGGGGCCATCTAAGAAGGTTACCAGTCTTGGGTTAGCTGATATTTTGAAACAGTGAAATTGGTATTTCCCTACATTAGTGAGGCCAAAAATTCATATGGATTACATTGTTTGCGTTTCGTTTTTGAGTCTTTGAAGGCAAATCATTTGAGGTAGCAAAGGATATTTGGTAGTTTCAAGAACTGGCTCCCAATCTGTTATGGCATATGGCACTTTGTAAGCTGCTAGGGGATATGAGGGCTCCCAATACCAAAATGAGAAAAATGAGAATTTTATTATTCTGTACAAGACACAATATTATGTCCTTATAGCATCTGGCCTGCCCGGAAGATTGTTTGCTGATGCAAGGACGGAGATGAACTCTAGCTTGAAAGGTTATTCCAAAAAAAAAAAAAAAATAATTCTAGCCTGGAGTGTTTCCTTAAGGTTCAGCTTTAGCAAGCTGGGTACAGTAAAGCTGAGGACTGCACACCACGTGTGGCTTCTCCACACTGCCTTTGAGGTTGCCATGACCTCATCCACCTCTTCTTAGACGGTGGGTTTGGCGTCTCGAGTTTGATGGATCCTCAGATGAGAGAGTTAAACCCAGAATCTGTGCGTTTTCTTTTAGGGTGTACCTGGGATTCCTGGTGCAAAAGGTGTTGCTGGTGAAAAGGTAAAGCGAACAGAACAAAACAACTTGCAGTTGGGTTTATTTTTATTTTTTTGCTTTATGCCTTTATGAGTTTATTTTGTTGCAATTTTAACACACCCAGCCTGGATTTGATTTTATATTGAACTCCAGGGAGAAATCAGAAAAGCAAAAGCTTTGGTTGGTCACGTTCTAAACCTCTTTCCCAGCTGCAAAAATCTGCTGACGAGTCTTCCTTCATGAGAATGTCATCCTTTGCTGGTATAAGACAGAGGCAGCATCATGGTTTCTGACTACTTAAAATACAGACTATATTGGTTTTTTGTTTTATTTTCTTGTGTGTGTGTGTGTTTTTTTTTTTATTACTCTGGATGGTACCCAACCTGGCTGACTCCATCAACTCCCCATGGGTTCCAGGATGCTGGGGCTATTTTACCTCATAATGGATCTTCTTTCTTTATTTGTTTTTAAAATTTCATTTTACATTGCAACCAAATTTCTCCCTCCCACCCCTCCTCCTGAATTATACTATTAAGCTACAGAACTGATGTCAGATTATGGTTCATAGAGAATTAAAAACAAGCCAATAAAAGCAATAGGCGAAAGAAAGGAAATAAATAATAACAGAGCTTTTCTTTAGGATAACGTGGGTAAAACGTGATAAAGTAGAACTTGAGGCTGATGAGGTGGAATTGTTTGTGAAGAGCTGGCCTAAGTTTGGTCCCCAGGATCCCTGTAAAAGGCCAGGCATATGCACACAGTCCTGGAAAGAGGCTTTCAGCTTGCTGAATGGCCAGCTTAGCCTACATGATGAGTTGATGAGTTGCAGGACAGTGTGAGACTGTCTCAGTAAAAGCAGACGGATGGTGCCTGAGGGTTGACACACAAGGAGGCACCCAGGCTTTCACATGCACACAGGTGCACTCACACCCACAAACATACGTGTGTGCACACACATGTGAGCATGTGATCATATGTATATACAAACACACACATAAAAAAGAGCTCCTGTACCCTCCCAAAGTCTCAGTGTGAAACCAGGAGACTAATGCTACTTAAATACACAGTGCCTAGTGTGGGTAAGGCAGGTTGATGACTGACTATATTTCAGTTTGAATTACTCTAAACGGTGTGTTTTTATCTTTAGGGTAACACAGGTGCTCCGGGGAAGCCTGGCCAGTTGGGAAGTCCAGGAAAACCAGTAAGACAGTAGTTAAGCTTTCTGTCGATTCTAATCCATAGTTACCAGGAGATGTTCATGAATGTTTCTCTGCTCTCCTCTTCACAGGGCCAGCAAGGGCCTCCAGGAGAGGTGGGGCCTCGAGGCCCCAGGGGCCTCCCTGTAAGTACTTCCCTTCTGTGCCTTCCTTCCCTCTGACGACTTTGATGAGTGCCTCTCTCTTGTGAATTCATGAATGTTTGAGCATCTGTGTGTCTATTTGTTTCTAGACAACAAAATGAGAATACTAACCTATATATACAGTACATTTTCTTTTCAAAAAATGCTACCAAAATGATGGTGTGTTTAAAAGGAAAGTGTTTATGTTTTTTAAGACAGAGCTTCTCTGTGTAACAGCCCTGGCTGTGCTGGAACTCACTCTGTAGACCAAGCTGGCCTCGTACTCATAGAGATCCACCTTCCTCTGCCTCCTGATTGCTAGGATTAAAGCGTTGCTCTTGGCTGGGATGTTTTATTTTCATCTCATGTTGGGAAGTATTTTAGTGTGGTTAAAAACCTTAGTTTAGATGTAATTCACATGCTATATAAATTCCCACTTAATATACATGATGTTTATTTTTAGTATAGTCACACAATTATGTAGCCGTCGCTGCCATCAACTCTGGAATATTTTCATCACCCTCTAAGGAAACCCTGGTCTCATTTCCAGGCATGCAGCTCCAATCCCTTTAGTTCTCTACAGTCCCGGCTCCAACTTCCATCCCTATGGCTTTGCCGATTCTGAAATTTTTTATATGAGTGGATCCCTTCCTTCCTTCCTCTTTCTTTCTCGCATGTACATGTGTGTCTGGAATGTGTTTATATGTGGTGTTTCCATTTGTGTGGACACATGTGACATGTGTATGGAAACCTAAGGTGGACAACAGAAATTCTTTCCAACTGTGCTTTACCTTATGCTGGGAGCAGGGGTCCCTCAGTTAAATCCAGAGCTCGCTGCTTACTGATAGGCTAGTCTGGTTAGCTGGCTTGTTCCAGGGATCCTCTGTCCTGTCTTTCTAGTGCTGGAATTCCAGATTGGCATTTATATGGGTTCCAAAGACCCGAACGCTGTTCTTCACACCCAACAAGTGATTTAGCCACTGAGCCATATGGTAGAACCCAGTACTTCTTGGAATGGGTTGACTTGGAAACATAAGGAATCTTGACATGTCACCTTCCTTGGTAATTGACTTTTCACCTGCAATATTTTTTAAGAAAAAAAAAATGGCATAGTGTTCTGAGTATTATTGCTCTAGAGCAAAGCCTTAGCACCAAAGAACTCTCCTGGAAAACGCATTTATTCTTCTGTTTACATCATTGAATTCTGTTTTGTAGACAGATTCACATATTTCCACCTATGGTTGGCAAGTTTGATCCGATTTTCCTGTAAATCTCAAATCAAACTGAGTAGACGGGATTAGAATATGTCTAATTGTGTCCTAGATGAACATCTTTGCAATGGATTTTTGTTGATTTGATTGCAAGAAGGACTAGGTTTTATATTATTATTATTATTATTATTTTATTTTGACTCTCTAGTGCAGTGATCTTCAACCTTCCTAATGCTGCAACACTTTTTAACACAGTTCCTCCTGTGGGGGTAACCCCCAACCATAAAATTATTTCCGTTGCTACTTCATAACTGTAATTTTGCTACTGTTACGAATCACGTTGTAAATGTCTGTGTTTGCTGATGGTTTCGGTTGACCCCTGTGAGGACAAGAGAGGGGGGCGTGCTTGGCACGCTTGCTTTAAAAGTGGGGGCTTGCGCGCACGCGTAATTGAGTCCTCTGGCTGCCAGGTAAAGCTTGAGCAGCCAGGTAAGGCTGAAGTAGCCACAACATGGCCATGAGCGTCCCGCCCATCATTGGGGGCGGGATCAGCAGGCTGCTAGTTCCTAACACCCTGCTCCATTCCCAGCACAATAGCCTTAAGCAGAGAGGTCTCCATATGGGTACCAGATGGTGTGCGGTTGGGATTTCTAAGCTGCACCCCATTCTGCCCAGCCCTCGGCAATGATGTGTGAAGCTGATATGTGTGATGTTAACTATTCAGACAGATTTTACTCTGCACATGTATAAGGGAATATTTAAACCCACGCAAGATAAATACAACTATATCATATCATAAAATTGAATCCTTGAAAGCATCTTTGCAAGGAACAGAAAGTTATTCCCTGAGGTCGAACTCATGTGACTTTCCAATTTAATAGGAAAATGAATTGATATAAGACGCAGTCTAGAGAAATCAGGATTGATCTTTTGGGCTACACCAGCATCTTCCCTGTTTGCTGTTGCCAGAGAGAGACATTTAGTATGCAGAACAGGCTGAATATAATGGTTTAATTTCTCACTTCTAAAATTTAGCTAGCATGTACCAAAGATAGTATTTTTTTTCTTCAGCTAGCTTGCATTTGGGATAATTTTGGAAACATGGGAACTATAATATAAATGCCATGACAAATTAAAGTGATGGAATGGAGTTAATTCTTTTGGAAAACAATTATGGCAGCATTAAGTCACACTAAATTTCCAGATTTTTTTTGTGATTTTTTTAAATAAATGCCCAATAGTTCCTTTATAAAGGAAGAGGCATCAACTTGCGTCATTTGGTGTCGGTCTCTCTCTGCAATCTCACGTCACCGCCATAGCATGGCTATCAGTGGGTACTTGCTTGCTGAATTCTGCTGTTCTAAGACTTTTAGCCATTTTTAAATTTAAGATTTCAATCTTAAACTTTCATCCAAAATTTAAGTAAAATTGGTAAAGACAGATACCCAAACCCGAACTAATCCCTGGGTGTTGGTTACACTAGAGGCACAGAATTAGAGTCAGAGGCGAAGGTGGCTGACTTAGAACAGGGACTATGGAGCAAAGCGCTGGAAACTCTGGTGCAGCCCAGATCTAAAGGGCACAGAGGAGGGAGTTGTTCACAGCCACAGCAGGAACGGATGCCCCACATCTTCTCTGCAGCCTCCGCTGCCTCTCAGGGATGCATGGGCACGTGTGTCTGAAGTTTTCCCTGTGTGTGAAAGCACGGGGATCCTGAGAGGAACAAAGAGCCCTTTAGTACAATCTCACATAGTAACTGGCAGATCTGTCTCCATTCTGATTCCTTCTGGCTCTCTTGTTATAAATGGAGACGGTTGTTGTGTAAATATCAGCCACTGGGAGGGGCCTTTCTGTACCAGCCTCCACTGCCAACACCTCAGAGTGTGGTGACCACAGGCTGTTGGAGCCCAAGGCTGTATCATTTATGAGCCTTGACTAGTTAGTGCTAGAATGTGTTTAATCTATGTTTTTAGAGTGGCCATTTATATCTCAACTACTCATCTTTTTCTTCTCACATAAAAATTTCAGAATCTATGCAAGTATGTGTAGTGTGTGTGTGTTGTTCAGAAACCACAGACATTGACTGTTAGAAAACCTGTCCTTAATACTTTGTTTGTAAGCAACTGTTTGAATACTGTTATGAAACAACATTTCTTCTTTCCCAGTGAGGTGATGTCTCTAGAAATGGCTACATTTAGAATAGCCTGGAGTGTTACAAGGGAATGAAGAACAAAGGACCTGCCTGTTTATGCAGAAGCAGAGGAGCACATATCCATATGCCATGGGTCTTTCTTGTGGTCCTCCACGGGTACATCCATCCAGCAGTGCAGGCTGTCCATAGTGGTACCATGAGTCATCCACGGGTGCTTACCGCAGGCTTGCCAGTGGTTGGGAAGGGCTTGGGAAACAAACAGAAGTCAAGAAAGACAGGAGAAAATAAGATTTCAGCAGAGAGAATCCTTGCTTTTGACTCATAAGATAGTTAATCCTCCCAAAAATAAACCAAAGGGTATACAGTCCTAGTATTTGGGTTTTGGAAGAGAACTATATTAATCACCCTGAATTTTGATACAGTAGCATGGCTCTTTTTTTTTCCAATGTAATATGGGGTTTTAATGCCATTACATGTAAATATACATTGTTGGTTTTCTTTTTTATTTATTTTTCTCATTTTACATATTGATGCATGGCTCTTTTTATTTACAAGTGAATTAGAAGCAAATGCTTGAGTCTCTGTTGGAGACCAAGCTTTCTGCTCTCATCTGATATCTGTTTTTCCTCATCAGTGGCAATTAGTTTTTTTCTTTTTTCTTTTCAAGACAGGGTTTCTCTGTATTGCTTTGGAGCCTGTCCTGGAACTCACTCTGTAGACCAAGCTGACCTGGAACTCATGGAGGTCCACCTACCTCTGCTTCACATGTGCTAGGATTAAAGGTGTACACCACCAACTCCCAACTAGTTGTAAAGACTAAAGTCAGGTTAGACCAAATGACTCAGAGGGTCTGCACCACAATGCAGTGAAGTATTTGAAAATGCCAATGGTATTTGTATCCTGAAGAGAAGCCATTTTTGAGCTTGGAAGGTCCGGGCCAAATTAATAAGAGCAGAAGCTAATCTCTTGTGTTGCAATTTTTAAAATTAAATTTATTACTTTGGCTATGTCATACATGTATTTAATGCATTATGAACACATGTACCCCACATATGTCTTACTCTCCTCCCCACTCCTCCATATAAGCCCTCCCCCACCCCGCTTTTATTATCTGCTTGTTTTGTCTTTATTTAATGATTCAATCAGCTAGGGTTATCTGTATGAGCATAAGTGTAATGCAAACTTCTGGGGCATGGGGGACTCGACAGAGCCTACGCTACTGACTCTCCTTCCTCTGGAATGCATCCTTAGTCAATAATTCCCCAGGGAAGGGTGGACCCATGAGCCTTTCCTGTGGTAGGTGTCTGGGGAGGGCAGAAGATAATCTCTGTAAGTGGATAGAAAACAACTGTTGCAGTGGTCACTTCTCATCTAGATTTACATCCTTCCAACGCCCATCCTCATGGCGCTGCCTCAGGTTTCCAAGGTGCTCATGGGTTTAAGGACCAGTGTCCTATTCCAAATGCTTACACCTGGCAGGTTAACAGAAAAATTATTGAAAAGTACTTGTGTTGAGTTCTAAAGAATAGAAGTAAAAGTCACACATCTTTTTCTCGAAAGTTCCTTTTTTTTAAAGTTTGAGGTTTCAAGTAGAATAGAAATTTGAAGACTTAGATTTCAAATAAAAAGCTTGAAATTGGCCCACAAAACAAAATTAGCATTGCTGTTGGCTGATCTTCATAGTGAGTCATACTTCTCAATGTCTGTAATCCTGGAAGACAAATTTGGACCTAAGATGAGTGAAACAAGAAATCTAATCTCAGAAAGTTTGTAAGTGTCTGCCATGTGTGTCTTCTTGAAGTTGCAGTAGTGATTTACAGGCAAGCATCTCTGCCTTGTGTTTCCTTCTCATGCTTTTGTTGAGGTAACAATCTCTTGACAGTGGATCCTTGAAAGCATCCATAGACACTAGAGCTTAGTCTGTATCATAGAGATGGTACCATGCCAAACGAGTGGGTATGGAACACCCCAAGAACACATCTAAGTGAGGGTATAAACTGTGTATCTATGAATACCCATAATATAAAATAGGATGTGGCTTGCATGCTGAACATTACTAGTTGTCATTGCATGAACAAAGAGCGGATATTTCCAATGGCCTGCATCCATGGAACAGCTTGATCAGGTTCCATGAATAGGGTACCTAGAGAGCAATTAGATATTGACAGGATGGCTGGCACCTTCAGTAGAAGTGAAGGGGAAGATTTTGGCAACTCATACATATTAACCAAAACCAGTGTGGAATGTTGTTTTCTCATATAATAATTAAGCATTTGACTCTGGTCTGAACATCCAGGTGATGACAACATGTTTGTTTCCACAGGGCAGTAGAGGGGAAGCAGGACCAGACGGGTCCCCAGGCATACCAGGTAAACTGGTAAGTGATGTTTCCTACCTCTATGTGTTTGCTTCCTACAAGGCAGATACGTTTTTTTTTAAACAGAAAAGGAGAGAAAAACCAATTTGCAAAAGGTCATCTAATCAACCACACGTTTTTATTGTTATATGAATATGTGAAACTATAAATGTAGAATTTCATATTGTAGCTATGATTATTTAAGCAGCGTGGTTTGAATGCGTCTGAAAACCCAGAACGGCATGAAGTGCCACGTTTGGTGGCTGCCTCTTGGACGGGAAGGGAACTGTAGCTGAATGCTATCTTTTGCTCCCTGTGTAGCTCCTGTTTATTCAGCAGGAGGAGCGACAGCTTGCCGCCAGGACTTTGGCTGAAAGAGTTCACTGTTGCTGAGTAGGGGAGAGGGAATTCAGAGGTGGGGTGGAAGGTGGGAGCCCACCTGCCGCCCGCCCTCTTCTGGGACACAAGAGGGAAGAAACAGAAGGGGCAGCACTAAACCAACATTAATTTTAGACATGAGCTGATACGTCAGGGCCCTGTCTGGCTTGTCAACATGAAGCGTTGTGGGCAAGGTGACTTGGGGATTTTCTGTTTGTTTTCCAGGGACCTCTTGGTAGCCCTGGCCTCCCTGGCCTGCCTGGCCCCCCTGGGCTTCCTGGAATGAAAGGCGATAGGGTAAGATATCCAGTACTCTGCACACTTTTTTTTTTTTTTTTTTTTTCCTTTTTAAAATCTGGGATGAATCCTTCTTTGTTGAGAAATCAAGACTGTTTTGCCCAGGGAAGCCTGTCTCTGGCGATTACCATGAAGAAAGACCGGGAAAGGCCACTGGGGTCACTGAGAATTGATGTTGCAAAGAAAGAAACAAATCAAAACAGTATCTTCCTGGAAGGAAAGAGAGAGAACTAGAGGCTAAGAGGAGTCGAGGATCAGTTATAGTGTTTATTTAGTTTATATTCATATCAGTGAAAGTTCATTCACATGGATATGATCCGAGAATATCCCCCAGTTACTAGCGATTTGGGGAACAATTGTCAATAAGAACAGGTTTCTTCTGGTCTTCATTCAGGGATGTGGACTCATCTGAACTCACAACTCAAAATACTGAAAAAATATTCAATCTCGTTCATTTCAGGGTGTGTTTGGCGAACCAGGTCCCAAGGGTGAACAGGTAAGCCGAGCATGTGGTTAGTGGTATTGGATTTATGCCACGTCACAGGGGCGGGGCTGGCGGGTTTGTGGGCGAGATGTAACCATGGTGGCTCACAGCTTTTCTCAGTGTACTGTATAGCGAGGGAAAGCTTTAATGGAGTTTTGTGTGCAACCAAAGAGTTTTCATATGCGGGAGCTAAATGGCTGTTTCTCGTGCTGCGTGGCGCTCTTTCTTTGAAGAGGGTGGCCCTGTCTCTCGGGCTTGCCGAATTTGATTCAGATGACAGACTTTCAAGGCCACAAAATAACATTTTAAGTATTGTTTGATCAAGACCTCAGCAAATAAAAGGTGTAAATAAAGCAGAGTCAGTTCCCGTGCCTGGATTCCTAAATTTACTATAGGATGTCATTTCAAGGGTTGTTGAATTTTAAAATTGCTAGATGTCGTTGTTAGCTTAATTAAATGAACTAAACTCAGTCAGTAGCTGGAACCTGGTCTCACCTCTGTCTTCTCTGTCTACTCTTGTTTTGGTTAGGATTAGCCTGCTGTCATGGAATTGAGAGCTCCTACTGGATCTTTGGGGCATCTGGGGACTTATAAATGCTTGTGGATGTTGACTTGTTAGAGCTGACCCATGCATGGAGGACTGAAAAGAATGTAACATTTTATCCTAATTTTTTTAGGGTGCTTCTGGAGAAGAAGGCGAAGCAGGGGCAAGGGGTGATCTTGTAAGTTTCTTTATTGGTTGATATAAAACTTTAGACATTTTTAAAAAGAGGTGCTTTTTCTTTCTGACACTGTTCTGATTATCTTAAAGGCCAAGTGGATTTTTCCTCTACTTTGACTAATGATTCCAAATATTGAAGGCAAGGCTTGGTGAAGCAGATTGGTAGACGTAGCTTTACACGTCTCCAGAATCCCCTTAGAGATGGTGAATTTTTCCATGGTCTCATACTGAGACATTCAAGTTATTCATATAGTCACAGAGTGCATTGGAATAGAGACTAGCAGGGAAACAATGTCTTTTTTAGGGTCAGGGAGCTGTGGCTCGCAAATAGGGCTGAGAACATTCTGTCTACCCTGAAAACACCTGAAGGAATGATCTCTATCTCCAGAGGGTGAGACTGCTGAGTCTCCAGGGAAGGGACAAGGGCAGAGCACACTGAGTAGAGCTGCTGGTCTGCCGCCTCGTCAGGATGGTCTGGGCAGGAATGGTCAGCCCTAACGTAATGTGTGAATGAGATCTTCTGCAATCAGTAACAATCTTCCCTGTGAAGGAGCCTTGGAGCTCTCCAAGAGCAGAGAAATGGTCCGAAATGGTCCGCTAATGTTTATTCAGGGTTGCAGGGTTGCAGACATCTAGAGATGTCTGACCTGGGCAAAGTTTCTGATTTTTTTTTTTTTAAGCAAATTTCTGAGATTTCTGAAAGTACTGCATTTTAGTTTCTGTAGTGGCTGTTCATTTTATGTGCTTAGGGAATGTTTTAAAATTTAAATCATTCTATCTTATAGTAGAGGCATGCTAACACTTGAACTGAACTCATCTAAAATCAATGATGGGAAGATTACCTAGGTTTGTTTTGTTTGTTATCCAAAGCCTGAAAACATAGATATTTTGTTTGATAGATTTTTGGGGAATGAATTAAAAACCACAGAAATATAAAAACAAAAATTTCAATGTATATAGTTTTAAATGTCTGTTGTGTTTGGGGAGAAAAGCTATTTCATTTCATTTTATTTTATTTCCTGCACGCTTTCATCCTTGGTGCAGAACACTGTAGACCTGAGTGAGCCTCACCGAGCTCTCATTGCAGCTGGTTAGTCAACAGATCAGATAGTCAAGGGCTGGGAGGTTGCCTTGCTCACACAGAAGCACAGAGTTTGGTAGCTGAACTGGAATGACAGACCACATTTTGAGTCAAACCTGTCTCTTCTTTCTTTCCTTCCTTCCTTCCTTCCTTCCTTCCTTCCTTCCTTCCTTCCTTTCTTTAATTTGGAACAAGCTTGTTTTACATGTCAATCCCAGTTCCCTCATCCTCCTGTCCACCCCTGTTCCCCCCACCAACCCCCATCCCATCCCCTTTCTGCTTCCCAGGGAGGGTGAGGCCTTCCATGGGGCATCTTCAAAATCGGTCATATCATTTGGAGTAGGGCCCAGGACCTCCCCCATGTGTCTAGGCTGAAGGACCATCCTGCTATGTGGAATGGGCTCCCAAAGTCCATTTGTATACTAGGGATAAATACTTATTTACTACCAGAGGCCCCATAGACTGCCCAGTCCTCCTAACTAACACCTCATTCAGGGAATCTGGGTTGGTCCTATGCTGATTTCCCAGCTATCAGACTGGAGTCCATGAGCTCCCCCTTGTTCAGGTCAGCAGTATCTGTGGGTTTCTCCAGCCTGGTCTTGCCCTGTCTGCAACTGGATTCCAAGAGTTATGCTCAATGGAGTCAAACCTGTTTTCTAATATGTTAGCAGTACAATAGCATTGGAAAAATGTCTTAGTAAACTATGTCAAGTGAATAAATTGTACTAATATAATTTTGTTTTGCTGATTTAGGGAGATATGGGATTACCTGGCCCAAAGGGATCTGTAAGTATGATGAAATTAAGTTAAATTAAAAACATTAATAAAGCTGTAGAAAATGCTATAACCTGCTTCATGAAATGATTGTATAAAATTAAATTTCTTGAAGGATTTCGAGAAAGTAAATCTCTAAAGCTACTCTGTAAATAATGGATTCAACCCAACCAGTAAGGAAAAAATTCTCAACCGTGCAAATGGATCTAGCCTTTGAACTCTCTACTCTAAAGAAGAGTTTTGATCTGATATTATAAATGGCTCAGTGAGTGCTATATTATAATGCTCAGACATCCTCCCCAAAGGAGTCATTTCAAAGAGCTGGTACATGCTCTGTGGTGGGGAGAATAACTGAATTTTAGTGGCAGTTATACTTCTGCGAAATATTTCAATAACTTTCTTAATCTCCCTTGTGTTCTAGTTGAGATAACCAAGAAAGAAGCAGAACATGTAACAAAATATAACAGAGAATCGTCAGAACCTCAAAATGAGCAGCTTCTTCGACTGCGTTATTTTACAGAAACTAAACTTGTGAATTCAGAATCCTAGATCTGGTGCATGGGAGACCCACGGTGTCTTGCTAACATGCACACCAGCAGGAGCAGGAACTTAGAATTAAGCTCAGTGGACAGCCTCGAAGGCCATGACCACTAGCTTCCAGTGATTTCCTAGATTCTCTAGATTTCTGGACTAGTCCCTACTCCTGTCTTTATCCAACAAATTATCTCCTCAGCAGCTAATTTAAACTTGCTGAAAAATAGAACCCGCTATATGCCACCCCTCCTCTCTGAATCCTAAAGAAAAGAAATCAGACTCCTAGCAAAGTAGACCGAACCTGTCTGGAAAAGTTCTTGGTTTTGTCCCTTGGCTATCTGGAACTTTGTCCATTTTCAGTGCTTTTACATACTATGCCATTTAACAGGTCCTAGTGGGAAGAGGCTTTCTCCTTCCTGGCAATTACTGCCTGCTACACATGCCTCCTGGCCCATCCTCTACCTTCCTTACCTTCTCTAGAGGCATCCCTGCCTCCGGCCCCTGCCCAACTTGGTTTCAGTGCCCAAATGCAGGCTTGTCATCTGCATGCACACCAGTGCATGGATGCAACCCTATTGTATTGACAACCATGCCTTTAAACACAAACTTTCAAGCCATGTTTGTGTATAATAATACTTGTTGCTGGTGGTGCATGCCCTTAGTCCCATCACATAGGAGACAAAGGTAGATGGAACTCTGTGAGTTCAAGCCCAGCTTTGTCTATAGTTCTAGGGCAGACAGCTGTTACACAGAGAAATCTTGTCTCAAGAAAAACAAAACAAAACAAAACAAAAAGCAAACAGACAAAAACAAACAAAAAAACCCTAAAAGGAATGGTTTAAAATTATACCAAATATAAAGAGTAAATAAACCCTTATATGTTTGGTGAAAGAAATCTTATGTCATTATCTAGAATGATTCAGTGGTGCTCAAGAGAAACATTTAAATATAAAAGAAAAAATTGATCATAATGTAGTGACCCGACACTTACTGCATTCTAATTTGGATATATTAGGAATTAGCTGTTAACTCAATACTTCCCTTCCACCCACTTCTTATGCAACACTGCCCAAGTAATGCTAAAGAAATTGAACTGTATTGTCCCAGAATCAAGAAAATTATTTCCTAACATAGGTGCTTTCACGGTCCACTTGGATGTGAGATCAGATGAAAACCCAATGTCTGCTCCCATGAACAGAATTTATCAACTGAAGAACTCTTTTTGTTGTTGTTTGTTTTTGATAGTTTTTTAAATTTAAATTTGCAACAAGCTTGCTTTATATGTCAATCCCAGTTCCCTCACCCTCCTCTCCACCCATGTCCCCCTCCCAACCCCCATGCCATCCCCTTTCTGCTCCCCAGGGAGGGTGAGGCCTTCCATGGGGAGTCTTCAAAGTCTGTCATATCATTTGGAGCAGGGCCTAGGCCCTCCCCCATGTGTCTAGGCTGAAGGACTATCCCTCCCTGTGGGATGGGCTCCCAAAGTCCATTTGTACACTAGGGATAAATACTGATCCACTACCAGAGGCCCCATAGACTGCCCAGTCCTCCCAACTAGCACCCACGTTCAAGAGGGTCCTTATGGCACCCCGTTCTTTGCATCAGAGAGTTCCTGTGCTTTGTTCAATAGCAGTTTTAGCCATCATCATCACAAGAGCATAACTCTATGTGGCCAGCTCTCTTTGTTGATGTTGCTTTCCAGGAAGTCTGTCAAGCTGTAAGTTCCTTATAGCTGCAATCTTGTCAAGCTGACTTCGATAAATACCATTTTTTTTTTAACATCATAAAGCAAGATTGAGACAGCTTGCTGAACCTTGTTTGGATGCGTGTAGAGAAATTGTTGCTTTACTTCTTCCCTCGGGCTGAATGCATTTGAGAATTTGAAACAGCTACCTCTTCACGGGTAGATATTGCACAGGAAAAAGGCCAGGTGAAGTCACCTGATGAACATTCCTACCTTCAGGACTAGCATTTCCCGACTCTTCCTCTTGTCCTTGTACCATTTTACTCTTATTCTGAGCAACAGAATGTTGTACTGCTCTGCCGAAAGCTGTAGCACATTTTAGCCTCACAAAAGAGTGAGTTGCAATACAGAGAAACTCTGTCTTGAAACACCGTTAAAAAAAAAAAGTGAATTAATGTAGTCTCTTTTTAACAGCAGTTATTATACATGAAGATTTTAAAAATGCTTTTAGTGGTTTTTCTTTCAGGAAAAAAAAAAAACACTTGATTTACCTTGTATATGTGCCTTCATGCTGAGGAAGCAAGTGGTTTGTTGGTTAACTTTTTTAATATTTAGGTTTTAATTCTCTTATTATTTAAAACTGTAAAGCTCACCCCCTCGCCCTTAAACGCTTCACTTTCAAGGTAGTATTTTGAATGTAGTCGCTTAGTCAATGTTAGCATTTTGTAATTTCTGCTTATTGCTAGTGTCTTCAAGTTCACCAAACACACCTTATAAAAGGCAAATACTTTACATTCTTGGATTGTTTCATTGCTATACTCAAATGGCACATCTTGGAGGAAACCTTGTACTCGGAGGAAGTCTTTTTATTGCCAGAAGATGTCACAAATCCTTATTATAAAACTAAATGACAGGCTGGGTAAAAAGACTTACCCTGCAAACTCCATAATCTCAGTTCAGATCTCCAAAAGTCATTTCAAAGCTGGTCATAGTGGTGCAAATGTCGGTAACCCCTGCATGCCAGTGGGAAACGGGAGGTGGAAACTGGAGACTGCAGATAACTTGGCTTATGAAGTAGCAAAAATATCCCACCTCAAACAAGATGAATATGTAAGGACTAACAGGTTGTCCTTTGATCTCTCTGTGTCCTCCTTCCCCCAACACACACACACACACACACACACACACACACACACACACACGCACGCGCGTGTGCGCACACACACACAAACAAACAAAGCAAACAGCCAGCTTGCTTGGACTAGGCTGTAGCCTGGTGGTAGAACATGAGCTCAGCACGGAGGCCCTGGCTGGATTCAGTCCTCATCACCAAACCAGAATGAGACTTGTTCTTAGGAAGTGGTGTGAGGTATGACAAATGAGTGCTTAAATAGATCTGATCTCGATGGAGATTTTGAAATAATTAATTTTTTTTGTAAGTTTACGGAAGTTGGACTTCTAAGTGGCTGGTGAATGGTTGAATGGTATTCTGTGTCTGCAGCCGAGGTAACTTATGAACAGACACCACTTGCAGACTTGCGTTGTAGAAATCCTAAAATTCCACCTAAATATTTATACTGATGCTGAACAGAACATGCTGATGTCTAGCTCGAGTTTCACAGTACACTGTTTGTTCTAGGTTGGTAACCCCGGGGAACCTGGCCTGAGGGGCCCTGAAGGAGTCAGAGGGCTTCCTGGCATAGAAGGACCTAGAGGACCGCCTGGACCCCGGGGCGTGCAGGGCGATCAGGGTGCCACTGGGCTGCCTGGTATCCAGGGCCCTCCGGTGAGTGGTGGCCATACCCCATGGTTTCCTGTTGGTAGCTCCATCAATCTCAACTGAGCTCTTCGGGAGCCAAGTCTTCTCATCAGTTCTGGCCACTCAGTTCCTTACGATGTCTGACCTAACAGTTTAACAGTGTTCTCTTACAGTGCCGAGTATAACCTGTGTTTTTCCTTCTCACCCCAGGGCAGAGCACCAACAGACCAGCACATCAAGCAGGTTTGCATGAGAGTTATACAAGGTAAATAAATGACAGGGGTTTGTTTAAACAGCTCCACTCCATGCTTGTGCTTCTCAAGGTTTTATTTTTGTAGGTGTGCAAGGGGAAGTACCCAGCTTTAAAAGTGGGAGATGTTGAGTAATGTTAACACCAGCTTGTTTTACCTGAGAGTTGACATTCACTGTCTTATTACTCTCTCTCCACTCCCAATCCAGGCTCTGTCTCTATGTATCTCGTCCACCCTTTTCCAAAAGGGAGGTTAATTTAACTCACAGGAACAAATGCATTTGCATGCATCATCTTTTTCCCATTTGCAACACAAATTCTTAGGCATCCAAGCTCCTTAAGATGATACCATTTAGTGTATATTTGGCATGGTCTTAGGCTCTCTATAAATTATGTGAGAACTAAGTGACAGGCCCGGTGCCCCCAAGTAGCATAAGGACATTATTTATACCCAAGGAGTACATACGTTTAAAAAGTAACAACTAGCAGTTTCCCCAAAATGATGAAGCATTCCCTCATTTGTTAACTTTGATCTATATTTATCAACAGCTATGGACATCGTTATTCATTTTAGAGTTTGCCTAGGTATAAAACCACACAGGGAATGAATATGTACAAAAATAGCCCCACACAGAAGAGACACTATAACTTTGGCAGCCTACAGAAAATCCTCTTATTATGGTAGAACTGTGTCTTGAAGAAATGCTTGTCTTTCATGTGCCCATAGACAGTCCACCTTGTCTAGCAGACTTGTAGAATTTTCTAGAAGCAGGTGAGCATGAAATGAATGCGTCTTTATTTGGAAACCAATATATAAATCTTTTTGCCACACACGTTTTATTTCGGCTCCCATCAGAGCTTTAAGCACTACTAACATATCTGGAAAATCACAATTTTATATTTATTAAATTAAGCAACTCAAAATAGTCATGTTTAAATAAATTTTAAACTGCTGGATAGAAAATTGTTTCCAATTCTTCTTCTTTCTCATACCCTAAAGCTTTAAAAACAATATTGCACTTGCCTTAGAGCATTTTAATGGGGTGGATTTTCTTGCCTTTCACGGCTTTAGCAGCTGGTTCTGAATGTATGTAAGAAGCCCACAGAGGTATTAATTTTTAAGACAAACTGTGGACATTCCCAAGGAAGGTTATTTTTAATGATTTTCATCTATTCCAAGCATGAAGATAGACTGGAGGGGAAAGATTTATTAGAAGCCACGAATTCTCATGATATTTCAGGTTGTATAGACTTGCTTTAGACCAAAAAGGTCTTTAGTTTGGATGCTTGGTCTAGTATCTGAACCCTAATTTTGAGTGAGGGTTTTTTTTTTTTTTTTTTTTTTTTTTAGAGCTCCAAGACAACATTTCCATCCATGATAAGAAACTCATTTTCTTCGCTTCCTCGGTTTTACCTAATAACAGATAGGATTCAGGAGACATTCTCAAGGTTCTGGACCACCGCCCATCTCAAAGTCTTGAAGTTTAACCCCCTCACCCGAGCTGGGCCAGTTAGATAGATCCAGGGTGAGCTCAGGAAAGAGACACCAATGACTCTTCCTGCCTGGAAGCCTGTGGGAAAACACAACTTTGTTTTTGTCTTGGTGCCACATATAGATGAAGGCCCCTGGAGATGCCGTTCTCTTCACTTTAGCCACGGCTGTGTTTGTGACTTGCCCGTTTCTGTGTGTTCCTGTCTTTCAGAGCATTTTGCTGAAATGGCTGCTAGCCTCAAGAGACCAGATGCAGGAGCCTCCGGTCTTCCTGGGAGGCCTGGGCCCCCTGGGCCTCCGGGTCCCCCTGGAGAGCATGGTTTCCCGGGGCAGATGGGAATTCGTGGTCTCCCAGGCATTAAGGGCCCCCCTGGTGCTCTTGGCTTAAGAGGACCTAAAGGTATTTTTTCTTTTAAGTTTTATTTCATTTTTAGTTATGTGTATGTGTCTGTGCATATGGGGGCTCCCATGGAAGCCAGAGAGAATATCAGAACTCCTGGAGCTGGAGTTGCAGGTAAGTTTGTGATGGGCCCAATCTGGGCAATAGGAACTAAATTCAAGTCTTTTCCAAGAGCAGTATACTCTTTTTTTTTTTTTTTTTTTTTTTTTTTTTTACCACGGAACCATCTCTACAGCCCCAAGGTAAGCTATTTTGCTCAGGTGCAAGACATGCTTAACACCTGCTTTCCATAGACGTGTGATCTGCACCCAAGCTCACACACTCACAGAAAACTGTGAGATTCTAAAGTCACTGTAGGGCTTCTCCTGATGTAGCCCCTCGTCTAAGGATGTTGGCATCTGTTAAGCGAGTAAAGGTGCAGGACGCATGGCTGCTCATTGCATCCCGAATTAGCGCTGCCCTCCTCCTCTTCCAAAAGTTAGCCTCGGTACCTCTAATTTTGTTGGACTCTTATTTTTAGCCCCAGGGTGCAGTCTAACTTGATTCCTTCCTTAATTTAAAGCAAGCCAAGTGCTTGCATCCAGGAAATGTTGCAAAAAATAAAACACAGCACAGGTTTGTGAGCAAGCAAGACATTTTGCAGAGCTTACAGAAAGATAGGGTGGCCTCAGACAGCTTTCGCTAGCCGAGATGTGTGCACCCTGGATAATTTATGGAGAATTAAGTTAATCGAGGAGTTTCTGTGTTGTGACAAGTTACTGACAGCTCTCCGGGGAACTTCAGGAGGATGTGACATAAAAAATAAGAGGACCCCCCCATTATTTTAAACATTGTGGTGCTCCAATTAGGGACAAATATTACTGCGTGAATGGTCAGAGGGCAAGTCAGCTGCCTCTTTGGATCTATAAATGAGTTGTTGATGTGGTTGGCTAACTACACCCTCAGTTGGAACAATTCATTTAATTACTTTTTTTTTTTTTTGGCAAGTGCAGAGCTGCATATTAAAAATGTCCTCTAATTGGAACTCTTGTAAGTCTGGAGAGATGAGGGAGAGGGAAGGGGAACCCACCTTACAGAGGCACTGGGGTTTTCTCAGTTTATTCATCTTTGTCCTCTTTAGCTACTAGCCCGGGACTCTGTGCCAGATGATATGATGAGTAGTTCCATCCGCTCTGAAGACCATGCCAGAACATCCACTGGCGTGGGTGGATTTGTGGGTTGCTTGGGCCTGTTTGTAACCCTGCCACAGGCATCGATGCAGCCTTGCTTGCCTTAGTGTCAAGAACAGCAGTGGGAAAGGCTCCCGAGACCCTATGAAGGTCTCCAGTCCTCTGCCCCAACCCAGACACACTGACTCAGAAACTCTGGGTGGAGCCTAGTACTTGGGCGCAAGATATCCTTAGCAGATCTAGATTGGTGGAACATTGGTGTGTCGCTCAAGTTCCTTAGCGGGTCTAAGGAAATTAATCAAGTAAACACTGGTCTCTTTGGCAGATCAGTTATCGGTTCAGATGTTGACTCCAGGCAGCCTATGGGGCCACTTCCTCCAGCCTTGGCCACAGAAGGAATCACCCTGGGAATTCTACGAGCAATCCGGGCTTGCCCTGCCCCCCCCCCCCCCCCCCCCCCGTCCTCACGGCTGCAGAGTTTCAGAATCATTTGGTCTGGGCTTTACAATGTTCCCCAGGTAGTTTTAACCTGTGGCCAGGATTGTTTGAGTGGTCTGTGGCTGTGTTGAACAGGTTTGGGGTCTAGCAGGAGAAACACATCGGGAAGGAAGAAAAGTGTGTTTCTGTATTTGGAACCCAAGAGAGACCTCTAGCACAAGGCTCATTTGTCATTGACCATTGGACCGCAGAGGAGTCTTCCTTCTTCAGTGTTCTCCACGCAGTCCATCCAGATACAGCCCTAAATCTCCAGCCCTCCACCCTGATTCCCTTACATTAGCATCTCCATAAGGCTTTACTTCAGAAATCTAGGGCGGAGGCAGGCAGGCAGGGTAATTGGATTTTCTTTCAACACTACAACCAATTAAGAAATAGTTCTCAGTAACTGACCTTGGTTTGATCTCACCACATACAGGAGAGTAATATTTCATAAAAAAAAATATTTATTCTACTTTTTGGAAGCTCGCAGCTTAAATTTTTCTCAAGAAAACAATACATTCCACTATGTTGGAATTTACATTTTGAGTCATTAGAGATGCAATTCAGTATGGCTGCCCCTTTCCCCCACTTTTACCTAATAACAGGAGATGACATTGGGCTTACTCTATGGTACAGTCACTTTGGGAAACTATACTAAGCCTTGTGATAGTCCAGGCTATGTCTTAGTCATTGTTTTCTTCTTTACAATGGACATTGGGGTAAGAGCTTGTCTTCCTCCTCAAGCGCCCCTCCCCCACCAATGCGGAGTGCCGTCTTAGTCCATATGAGTCACTCTCCCTGACACCATACATACTATGTGTAATTGCACACATGCAGGACCAGCGTCCATGCAGCAGGCACCCCCTGTATGTGAGGTGGGCAGAACTCACGACAGCGACAGCAGAGTGGCCTTCTGCTCAGTTCACTGGTCTTTCAGGCCGTAAATCTTACTTTTAAATATTCATGGTTAGGATTAAGTTCCTTTGAATGAGGCTGTGCATGTTTAGACATTTTAGTGTGAGTCGAACAGATGAGACAGAGACAGTATGGAAGTGAAGGTGTGAGAAAATACATGTTGTAACTGTGACTCACACTTTCCCTGCATTAATCCGCGCAGAACATCGGTTATAGCTTTGAATACCAAGAGAGAAATGAACCACATCCAGAGAGCCATGAGAACGCCCAGCTTTCTGCGTTTCTTCTCAGCCTGGCTTTCCCTTCATACCCGACCTAAGGCTTTTTCATGGGCCGATATATTTAGGTATTTTATTTACATGAGAGAACATTTGGTAACTCTGTCCTGCAGTTGCTGAGGCCCCAGATTCGTTTCCACCGTCTCGCAAAGGCCTTGTACACATTTGGTTGCCACCAATCAACTCTGAGTCGGAAGTGAGAGACACGTGTGAGAGCACACTCTAATTTTTTAAAATGAGTTTATTTTTGATGACCCCACACTTGCATAGCTCAAAAACTTAGATGTGAGAAAGGCATTTAGCAAAGACTTTCTCCCACATATGCTTAGCGCCCTCTGTCATTCTTATGATAGAGAAACCCATGCGCTTCCTACAGATCCGGACAAGCAGCGCTATGGAAATCCCCAGAGGCTTGCTTTCCCTGCCCCCTAAAGAACAGGGCCACCCTCTCCTTTAGTAAACAATCATTTGTTTTTCACGTATCAGTATGTCCAGGAGACGGTTCCAAAGAGAGTTCTGTGATTCCCCCAGCTGTGTAGCTGTCTTTTCTGAGGCAGCAGCGCAGTGTTTACCTTTGGTGATCCTTCCAGCTGTTTCTCGTCTCCCATTGCTGTAGCCAGGCAGGACACACAGCAGGGCACATATGTCAATCTCGATATAAGATTTCAACACAGACTCCATTTCCACTTCCGATCCATCTCCATTCCAAAGTGTTTTCCTGTGTTGAGAGTAAATTTCTGCAAGTTGAGTTCCGGGGCAACTGGAGCTCCCACTTACAATTTGATTGTTATTGCCATACCCGCTCCAATGAGGTTATACCGGTTTGTACTTTCCGCAGCAGCACACAGGTCTGCATTTTTCTACAACCTGGGCATGTCTCATCTACACATGGAACTTTTGCTAATTTTGTAGGTTAAGCAACTTTGTCACTTCTTAATTTTGTGTTTATTTGCGAAAGCAAATCCAGGGGCGCTCTCCTCTATGTAACGGCCATTTTTGTCTCCTTTTCATGACTGCCTAACCATGTAGCTTGCTCATTCTTTTAAAAACCTGTTTTTATTGTTTGTGTATCTGTATGTACCTGATTGTATACATGTGCACCATGTATGTGCTCTCCCTATGCTTGTGGGGGCCGTAGGGGGTGCTGGAGCTCCTGGAAGTGGAGGTACAGGTCAGAATCCTGGCGGGGTTCTGGGAACTGAGCCTGAGTCCTCTGCAAGAACACAAGGGGCTCTTAACCACTGAGCCACGTCCCCAACACTTTGTTTTCCCATGGTTCTTAGACTTGATCCATTTGTAATTTGTCCTATCATGATATATATATACCTTTTCCTAGTGGACTACTCATATTTTTAAAAAATCATTTAATGACTTGCTAATGTTCTCCACTTAAAATGCCACCTTTGGGGATGGAGAGATGGCTCAGAGTTAAGAACACTTTCTGTTCTTGCAGAGGACCAAAGTTCAGTTCCAAGCACCCACATCAGGATGCTTTAACCCTGGTTCTAGGGGATTCTGCCTTCTGGTGTTTGCAAGCAGTGCGCACACAGGTGCACACGAACATGCACAGAAACATACATAGAAATTATAAAAGAAATTTAAATTTTTTGTCATAAACCAGTTTCTCATGCATATTTGGACCTATTAGGACCTTGTGCCTCAAGGATAAGTACTACACCAGTATAATTGGTTTAATAACTGGTAGGATTATTTCCTTCATGCTACTTTCCTTGAATGAGGTTTGTGGCTATTTCAGCTTATGTGGTTTTTTAAATGTAAACCAGAATTATCCTCTCTGGTTTAAGTGTGCTTTAAAAAATGGGATTGTAATCAATATTCAGCTTAGGGAGAAATGACAACTATTTAGTGGGCTGTCATTCCACTCCAGAATGTTTTTTCAAGCCTTTTTGTATCCATTAGAAATGCTCAATTTCTTTCATGTTTTACTTGAATATTTCCATTAAGATTGTGTCTAGTTGTTTAGTATTTTAATTGCTACTATAAATAGTACTTCTTTGTCATTTCTCATAACTGGTAGCTCTTTGTATATGTGAAAATGATTGATTCCTGAATATTAATTTTGTATCCTGCTAGACTACTGAGTTCACTTATTGTTTGTAATAGTCTTGAAATTGGTTCTCATCTTTAAAATACATGTTCCTGTTACTCCCAATCAGAAAGAGTTTTAATTCCTCAAACCAAATGATGTACAATAGTTGCAAGATAACTTTCTTGTTCTTCCTGGGGCAGGACCACTGTTACGTTTCCAGGTTGAGGCAGATTTGATCTTATCAAGGAAGGATCCATTGACTGTTACCTTATCATGTGTTTTACTAAGAATGCACATCCAATCTTGTAAAATGATTTTGCAGATCAATCATTTGTGGGTTTTTTTTTCCCCTTCTTGGATCTGTTGATCAATTTTGGCCTTGCTGCATGTCTATTATGATGACAACTTCATGATTTTTGCTTCATGAGTTTGAGTTTCTCTTGAAGTTTAAAATAAATTTATTGATGCGAAGAAGCATAACATTTCTTTAATGAAATGCAGGTGACTTGGGAGAAAAAGGAGAACGTGGCCCTCCAGGAAGAGGTCCCAAGGGTTTGCCTGGAGCCATTGGTCTTCCAGGTAAGTGCATTCTGCAGTAGAATGACTGGGGTGGGGTGGGAGTGAGGGTGGGGTGGGGGTGGAGGGGTGTAGAACAAGTATCCTACGACGTTTTAAAGGAAATGCTGAGTACTCCTTTAAACTTATCAATCGAGCATGATGGTGGGCACAGGGTTTCCACCTGGCTTTAATGAAGAATTAAACAATTTGGAGATCAAGTCTGCATTCCCTTTGAGCAGACACATGTCAAGGCTTGATGTTAATTTCTTAGAGATGTGCTTTAAGGAAAATACTATCGAGGTCCATTCATACTCCACTTGTTCATAAAAATTGCAGGGAGTGAAACTATCCATGTCTAGCCCAGGTGACCATTCCTTGCTGTGTTATTATAATTATTAACCATTATTATCGGTTGATGGTGCTGGGGATCAAGCCCAGAACACACTAGGCAAGTGCTCTACCCTAGAGCTGCTGCCCTAGCCCTGACATTTTACAAAATCCAGAGCAGTTGCAAAGGGAATCCAAGTTTTCAGTTACTCATGTGGTACAAGGAGTAACTGAAATTTCATTTTGAAAGCTCTCCTTTCAAATACCCAGACACCCCCTCTGCCCAAAACAAACATCCAGGGACTCCGTCTTGTAGCTGCCAAGAGCTCCACATAGGCGCAGGTCACAGCTGCGTGGGCCAAGAGGATCAGGGTCCTCCACCCGGGCATTCTGTGTTCTCTTTATACATTGACTGCTCTGCCTTTGGCGTCTGGCCCGAAATGTACTCATCCACTGGGGAGACACTTGTAAACCCAAGCATTGAAGCAGCTCTGTGGACCCGGAGGCTGCATCAGCTCGGTAGTGGGTAGGATGTGCAGCTGCCCCCACTCACGGTGGCTAAGGTGTGGCTGGGGGGGTGGTTGGGGAATCTAGTTGATTGTAACAGGGGAGAGTTAAGGACAGAGAGGCAGTAGGGAGAGAAAAGAAAGCAAGGAGTTGCTTATTTCAGTCATGGATTTGGAAATTTTAGTTTAGGGGAAATTTAAGAGAGGAAATTACCGTTTTATAATTCTGCCAGAGGTTAAATATTTCATCATGGCTATAATTATATAATTATAGCAAAAATAAAAAAAATCCTTGCTTTTCAATTATCTATTTCATTGCTCTTGGGGATTGATTTTTTTTCTTATTAAAATATGGGAGGGAGATTGCATTTGGTGAGATTCATGCACCTGTTCAGATATTTTTTTATAAATTAGTATTTTTTATATTTGGAAAAAGAAAAGTCTAGTTGGACTCCAAAGGATCAAGGGAAGACTTGAGCACACAATAAAGTGTGGGTTTGTTGACAGATGGTTAGGAGAGAGGAAAAGAATTATCACTAAGAGTACGTCCCCTTTAACAGTGGGCATCATACAGGCCCTGAACTTATCTTACTACCCCTCATTTAATTTTTTACACAGGACATTTCCCCTTTTCTTCCATCTTTCTCATACTGATCCTCTCCCCTCTCTATCTCTGCCTACCTGTGTCACAGCTTTCCTGGGAGAGGGGCTTTGTTACTCTGAAGAGACAATGACATTATTTGTTGACTTTCGAGCTTCAGATTAATTTTCAAAAATGTAGGCTAAGCTTCCAGATCTCGGTCACTGGAGAGGGACGTTCTGCTGCTGGATGGCTCTCCTGTGTGTCAGTAGACTTCAGGGTCTGCGTTTCTCCCTCCCCAGGGTGCCTGTCGAGGCCTGTGTTGTGCAGCCAGGTTCACATTCTTCTCCCTGCACTATGAATATATTTGGCTAATTGAATCAGACAAGTCCCCCACGAGAGAATTCCTGCCTGAAATCATAGGCTCCACCATGCAGAAACCCTGGGTTCAAATCAGGACATGGTCGTTTCTTAGCCTCGTGGCATTGAGAGCCAATTAGTTTTTGTCTGGGCCTCAGTTTATTTATTTACAAAATGCCAGGGGCATCCTTGTGAGAATTACGTACAAGCGGTCATGCAAAGTGCTTGGGACAGTTTCTGACCATAACGGTTGCCAAGGAATGTTGTCTATTAGTTCAGTTTTGCTTTTGACATTGACAAGGAGGCTAAGGGCAAAAGCAGGAACTTCGTTAAACCCTCACAGCCTTTGCCCCTGCTGGCCTTAATCGGTAGCAGCAGGGAACTTTGCCTTCAATTAGCCCTCCTACCCAGAAGCTGGCCTTCCTTTCAGGACACTGCTTTGACTCTGTGCCATCCCTGAAGAGAACTGGTCACTACGGTCATTTCACCGGCCAGTTGTCCACAAAGAGGATGGAATTTTAAAAACAAATTTCCCAATAGGACTTAGAATGTGGTTTTGTGGTACTTTCCAAATGTAATGCTAGCAAAATGTTGGGACCCAGAGGGACCCTCGGTAGGATTCTGCCCAGGAACCTGTTTGGAATCTTCTGGGTAAATACACATTTCTCTGAAAGAAATATTGCCCTCCCTTTAAAGCTTTACTTTAAATTTTTTTTAATTAAAATATAGTTATATCACTTTCTCCCTTCTATTTAAGCTTTTTTAAATTTTATTTTTTAAAATATCTTTTTGATTGAATTACTTCCCTCCTTTCCTTCCTCCAACCTCCCCAGGTACTCTCTGGCTGATCCCTCCCATGTCCACCATGACTGTCACTGATAGCCTCTTTTCATTTGATTATGACTGTTATGTGCGCTCACATATACATGTGTATGTTTGCACATGGTAATGCAACCTGCTGAGTGTGATCATATATATATATATATATATATATATATATATATATATATATATGCTCTAAGCGCTAGCTAGTCGTCATTGGACAACCTATATGGGGCTCATTGGAGAGAGGTTTATTCCCAGCAGTCATTAGTTGCCTGTAGCTCTTTGTCTAGGGGTGAGCCCCTGAGAAATTCCCCCTTCCACATTGACACATCCACTGATGTTGCCATTGTTCCAGCATTGTTTACATAGCCATCTCCAGGAGACAGGCTCACAGAAGTCTTCCTGCTCTTCTGGCTTTCACATGTTTCCTTCCGCCATGTTCCCTGAGCCATAGATCCAGGACCTGTAATGGAGATGTAGCCACTGGAGCCAGGGTTCCCACGATCAGTTATCTGTGCTTTGATTGTGTCCAGTTGTGGTTTTCTGTGATGGTCTCCATTAAAGAACCCATCTCGGTTGTCACTTTGGTCACATTCGGGTTTTAAATACGAATTTAATAATTTCATCATTACTTGTGCAAAAACGCCCACTATTTAAAAACTGTAGTAGGTGCCTTCGCTATCTTTCGGTTGTTAGAGTTCCTGTTTTCTTTCTGTGTTGTTTTTACTCTCTGTCTCCCTTCACAGTGGCATCTTTCAATTTGTTCGGTGTTAAGCATTTGTGTATGACACTGTTTATTATAGACCATATGTCATTTTCGGAACGTTGACTATCATTTTGACTGATGGTGCCTTGTTATTTAAAAGCAGACTGTGCTGTGTGGTTTGTTAGAGTTGAACTCGAAGCGATAAATGTTCAAGGGCTATCTATGGTCCTGGGTGCAGGCTCCTAGGAGTTATCAACCCTTCTTATTTCCAGTGGTCACTGCTCTCCGTTAGTTCTCATGGAGCAGGGGGCAGAACCACACCTGATATGGGCTTATCTAGGAGAACATATGCTCGTGCTGGCACAGGTAATGCCCACAGAGCAGGGCCTTGCTAAGCCCCACACTGAGAGTTAGCTGTAGTTAATCCTTTCTTTACATCTGGGCATATGCAGACCGGCCAAGGTCATACCCCCGACAAAGGCATCTCCAGATGTAAGTGGTAGAGGGAGATATTTTGCTTCCTGGGTCTAGGTTCATGTAAAAGACGAAATGACAGCTTTCCCAATGTGATTAGTTTGTCTTTGTCACCATAGTTACCTGAGGTTGGCGTATCCCCAATCTTTGATTTTTCTGCTTCTCTCTCAGAGCTGTGCAGATCTCCTAAACAATCCCTGGGCCTTTAATCCTCCTCTTCTTCATTCTCTCACCAGAGCTAGCTAGGGCTGTTGCTGAGTTAGGTCACCTCATTAAGGGACATCCCTGAATGCCCGCTGCCACTGAGCTGCCCATGTGTGACCAGTAACTCAGCACTCAGGGCATTTCAAGGAAAAATATTTAATAACAAATTCCGACTTCTTTGTGCATTTAAACTTGCCAGGGAAGGAATAAATTAAATGAAGAACCTTGTGAAATACCACAGAAGTAAGCTCAGCATAAAAAAACAAAAACAAAAACAAACAAACAATCAAAAAACATAAAAATAGCCATTCCATTCGTCATCAGATTGTCTGTTTAACGCCGATAATTACCTGTATGTCTTTTCCCTTCATTTGTATGTATAGAGTTTCATTTTGTAAAGCTTTGGGAAAAGGATCTGTCTCCATCAGTGTAACATGCCTGCCCTCTAGTGTCTGCACAGAGAATGACCTGTAAGCATGCCTTTTAATTGATTTCTTTTTAATCATGGAAACTTCCTGAAGTGTGGCCGTTGATATTTCAGAAAGCTGTGTAGTCATTAGGTAGTTGGTGTTGTTAGCAGAACCACAGGCTGGACAAGTCATGGGAGCAGGGTATGGGCTCCAGACCCTAATCTTCTCTTCTTAGCACACATAGAGCTTCCGATGGACTCTAATGCCCAAGCATTTGTGTCCACTTTGCGAACACTTACAAAAAATCATCTCCAACGTCAGATGGTGTCACCTCAAAGTGAGGCTCCCTCTCAACACATCTAGAGCACAAACTGTGGCATTAAGGCCCCCAGGAAACCGATAAGCTGTTATGGTAAGGCCAGTACCTGATCGCAGGCATGAACGCAGGGGGAAACCCACCAAAATATTTTAGTTTCTCATTATAGAGACTTAAACACAAAAATCAACCCTGAACCTTTGCTATTGTGTTCCTTTTTTATTTCCTAGTCAATTTAGACCTAACAAATTCACTACCACAATCACCACCACCACACCCGTAAGCTCAGGAGAGTTAAACATTATTTATGGAAAGCTAGAGTAGCTACATGTTTTCTTCATCCGTGACTTGGAGATTAGCTTTCTTAACCCCGTTTCCTTATAAGGAAAATGAGATCAACAATGAGTACAGCATATGGTATGTGAGAGAGAGTAGGACACGATATAGGGCTGGTGATGATGATGTCATCCATAGCTATAAGGGTGTACATTGCTGGTCCACTTGCTGAAGGCGGACTAGGGCTAACTGCACTTTTTCTTTTTTTTAATGTTTCTTTTTTATTTATTACTTTTTTCTTAGTTTACATATTGATCCCAGTTCCCTCTCCCTCCCTCCCATGCCCCCCGGCACCCTCCCATCCCAACCCCCCTACTCCACAGGGAGCGTGATGCCTTCCAGGAGGGGTCAACAAAATCTGCCAAGTCATTTGGAGTAGGGACTAGGTCCTCCCTCCTGCCTCTAGGTTAATGGAGTATCCCTCCATGGGGAATGTGCTCCCAAAGTCCTTTCTTGCACCAGAGATGCATCCTGGTTCCACTGTCAGAGGTCCCTTAGACTGTCCAGGCCTTCTAACTGAGACCCATGTTCAGGTGGTCTGATTTGGCCCAATGCTGGTTTCCAAGCTATCAGTCTGGGGGTCCATTAGCTCCCCCTTGTTCAGGCCAGCTGTCTCTATGTGTTTCTGTAGCCTGGTCTTGTCTTCCCTCTCTGCATCTGGATTCCAGTTCGGCTCAGTGTTTAGCTGTGGGTGTCTGCTTCTGTTTCCATCAGCTACTAGATAAGGGCTCTATGATGGTGGATAAGTTAGTCATCAATCTCATTATCCAGGAAGGCCTTTCCACTGTTGCTCAAATTGTTACTAACTGCATTTTCTAAGGTGAGTCACTAACTCTACCCTCAAAGGTCAAGAAGAATTTTAAATACACTCAGCAGGTTAAAAAAAAAAATGCCCATGTTCCTTAAAATGTGTTGGGTCAGAGCCAGGCGTAGCAACTCCTGCCTGTAATCCTAGCACTTGGGAGGCAGAGGCAGGGGTTTGAAATCAGCCTGGGCTACACGGTGAGTGAGGCCAGCCTGATTTACAGAGTAAGATCCTCCTCATACCACTCCCAATGTGCTAGCTAGGAAACTGCGTGTGAGAATCTTTCTGATTTTGTTGTTTGTTTGAGCAGCATCTCTCTTACTATAAACTCCTGATTGGCCTTGAACTCTCTATGTTGAGCATGCTGGCCTCAAATTCATAGAGATTCACCTGTGTCTGCCTCCCCCATGCTTGGACTAAAGGCATGGGCCACCATATCTGGCTGAACAAATTTCCTTTGACTTAAGGTTTCAGGGAGGGGACTATTTTACTAATGTGAGATAAAAAATTGAAACAGTTGCTTACACCAAAAAAGGGAAGGTCTGATTTGAAGCCCTGGCTGGTATTTCCCTGTGGTGGCTGATAGCAGGAGGAGGGCTGGGGACATCAGCCTCCAGCTACCACCCTGCCTTGTTCCCTCTAATGGGCACAGAAAACTAGTGGTCCTTTTTATTACTCTTATATTATTTGTTTTCTTTTAGTGAAGACAATGGACATTTCCTAATCTAGGCCTTGTTGGTTAATGACGTTTGTTGCCAAGGATCTTTCTCTCTACAGTTCGTGGCTTCAAGTGTGGGAGTGTCTGTGACAGTCAGTCAGCCATGGCTTTGCCTTCCAAAAACAGCTACAGACACTATGTAAACAAATGAGCATGCCTATGTTCTAATACGGCTGTTTTCAGAAATAAGATTTGGCCTGTGGGTTGTGGTGGCCTAATCCATGCTACCTGTCGAGCGCCCATGGTCTTTGGACTTGGACTTGTGAGCACGGTCTTTCTCTGGTCTTGGTCTGATTTCAAGACAGATTTGACATATGTCAGTGGGCCATTCCTATTGAAAAAGATACGAAAATCACCTTTTCTATGTAGTTAGATGAGGCCCATTTCTTTTAACTAAAAAAGAAATCACCTTAACTTTTAACTGTCTGTTGTGTCAGGGATGGAGAGGTCCCTGCTGCAGCTGTTGTGACAGCCTTATCTGTATGGAGATGCAGCGAATGGGGGGGGAGCCTGTCTCCCATTAGAGGAAACGCATAATCACCTGCCTCATCTCAACTTGTAGTTGGATAAAAGCCTATGAGATAATTTATTGGAAATAACACGTTTGTGTGTAACTACAGCCTTGAGATGCGTAATTCAAAGATAATTATTCTCCCTTACATCTTGCTAATGGTTTGCCCTCTAACACTGCCTCGCACAGGGCTTGATGTAGTACATGCAGAAAGAATGAGATGTGTGGAAAATAGGGTCTCCTGCCCACCTTTACTTCAAAATATGTGAGATATGTAATAATAATACCATTTAATATGACCAGGTCATTACAGTAAGATGTATGTAATTAGACCACAAAGGTAGGAAAAAGACCAAAGACCCTGGGAAAAGCAGGAGAGTACCTCTACCTACGAGAATGTGTAATTGGATGTGGAGATTCGGCTTTCAGCTTATCCACCGAGTTCCTAAGATAAGAAAGCTGAGACGGAGTAAGGATCCCTGTAACAAGACTGTCATAGTGAATGCAGTTGCTTCTGCATTGCTTTCCTAGAGTCATTTTTGTGACTCTAAGCACTATTGGTGCAAAGGGGGGCACATTCAACAAACGGTCCTCTTTGTTATGGGACACCTTGTCTCAGGATGGGCAAACAGGACACAATAGAAATGTCCACAAGGAACTCACTGTGGTGAAACTCAAGTTGGGGAAAGAGAACGGAATTTTGTAGGCAGCATGGTATGATCATCTAAAATCATTAACAAAGAATAGTTAATGATTGAGACAGTCCCCCATTTAATGGATGCTGTCAATCACAGAATATAATGATAACAAACACATCATCCCAATTTGTGGATGATGAAAATTAGAGATTTTTCTTTTTTGGCTGACTCTAATTGTTCATTAAACGCCAGAGTTAGAACTTAAAACCATTTGTCCTGAAAGTGTGCGTATTTAATTTCTTTGTCTGGATATGGATCACTATCAGAAATTAAGGAAGCCGCTGCTGCTGCTCATGAGAAAGACACCGTGATACACAAATCAGCACAGCACATTTCGTTTTGAATCTTCCAGTAGCCAAGGTGCAGAGCCAGGTGAAGCTGACTTTAATAATGCAGCTAGTCTCTGACTTGAGATGGTTAGCCTCAGATTTTTCCACTTTGTGATGACATGAAGTGAGACAAATTTACTAGAAACTTCTCTTAAAATTCTGAATTTTGATCTTTTGATGGAGTTAGTGATTCGTGTTATGATAGCCTCTCCAGTTCAGAGTTGGCTCTGCACCCACTAATGGAAAGACCTGCTACCCTGAAGTAAGCTGGGCTAACACATGATGCTTGGAAGGCTGGGTGCTTTTTTTTTGTTTTGTTTTTTGTTTACTTAGCTGTGTTGTCAGCATAACTACACTATGTACTGGGGGACACCTGTGCCATTTATTTAACCCACTAGGTTCAAAACATGATTGCATCGGGTAATAAATCTAAAATTTGTTAATACAATATTTTACCCCTTTTCCATGACAAGCCTTCAAATTCCAGCTTTATTTTATACCTACAGTTCACCTAAGTTTGGGCCAGCTACATTTCAGTACTCAGTAGACACATATGGTTAAAGGATGCCATGATGGAAATGTCGGAGACATATGCTGAGATCATTTTCTGCCTTTGAGTTCTATGAACCCCACATCCAACAATGGGGTTTCCATCTCAGCATCAGGCATAATCTCCAAGGTTGTTTGAATAAGCATCTTGTTGCTTCGCAACAAGGCTGCGTGGTCTAGTGTATTCTGCTAATCAACAGCTTGCTCACACGTGTGGGTTCTTGTCTATTTCAGGTGATCCAGGCCCTGCCAGCTATGGGAAAAACGGCCGAGATGGAGAGCAAGGTCCCCCAGGAGTGGCAGGAATTCCTGGTGTGCCTGGACCTCCAGGTCCTCCAGGCCCTCCTGGTTTCTGTGAGCCAGCCTCTTGCACCCTGCAGTCTGGTCAACGAGCATTTAGCAAAGGACCTGAGAAGTGAAAGCCCCTTTACATAAATCGTGCCCGGTAGAGGAGTATGGCAGAGAAACAACATCGAAAGCCAGGGCAATGACTAAAAGTTCTCATCTTCAACATGATCACACACGTCCTACTTGACAATCAGATTTCAAACAATGGTGCTATCGAGTAAGTCTTGCTCCTCGTCCATGCAAGGAAGCCAGGAGTGTCATCAGACGAAAGTCAGATTCAAATCCCCTTTAGCCAAATTTATCACTTTCCGAGGATCTTGAACTTTAGTGTGTCCTAATAAATATGGGATTTCTTATGGACCACTGTGTCAACAAACAGAAGCAGCTGTCCAGTTTACCTCAGTCCCTGTAGTTGTCTTCATTTCAACTTAGATGCTGTCTTCAGATTACGAATTGTTATAGCATGTATGACTAGGATAGTAAGGAAGAAAGCCCACTGCATTCAACAACATTGGTGCTTAAAGTCTCCATCAGGGCGGTGTCATGGAAGTGGCTTCTTTACATCATACAGGGTATTCACCTTTATTCTAAATTTGTGACTTGTATGTATTGTGCCCCAAACCCGTTCATATTGTAAGATCTTCTTCGTGAAAGCAAAGAGGTAATTCTAATGCCACGACATGCATGATTCTATTGCTGACATTATTTATTTTAAAAGTTTGAGGCAACGTCTCTGGTTGTACCAAAGAACAAATAAACATGGTTTCATAAACTCTTGTATGTTTCTAAATAAATAGTCATGTTAAGTGCAGTTAAATATTAATTGCACCTGTTAATATACATTAAAACTTTGACTTACTGCTACTTCTAAAAGTGTATTTGTATTGCTGGTTTCTTCCACCCAAAGAAATCTGAAAAGTTCCTACTGGTCCATAGTGCTACCCTGTGACAGACGGTGTGTGTGTGTGTGTGTGTGTGTGTGTGTGTGTGTGTGTGTGTGTGTGTGCACGTGTGCTGAGGGACTTAATTTATTTTTTTGAAATTCTAGTGAAAACTATGCACTCATTTCCCCTAGAATTCATAGGCACATATGCACATGACTTTGTACAGTATTTTATGGCGCTCATGGAGCCCTGTAAATCTAGTCTTTTAGATCTAATCTTGCTTAGTCTCTAGGTTAGGACTACACCTTCATTTCAGAAGTAGTTAGCTCCTTTTTGGAGCCTCATTGATACAAAAAATGATTCACTTTTTTAAAACCACATTTTATAAGTTGAGGAACTTACCTAAGACATCATAGTCTTTAAAAAAAATTTAGACAGTTTAGGGATACATTGTGGTAAATATATATATATATATAATTAAATCAGGGCAACACTCATTTCCACCTCTTCAATTATTATTCTATGTGTTTGGCATTGTGTGCTTTAGTCGTTTTGAATTTCATCACAGATGATTGTAACCAGCAGTTACCCTGATGTGTTAAAGATGAACTGCAAGCAATTCCTCCTGTCTGGGTTGCAGTGCCCCGCCCAGTCTCCAGGGACCACAATTCCATTCTAGTTTTTAGAGAACAGAAATGTGTGGCATTTGTCTTGCCAAGTCACATGATGGTCTCTATTTCCATCTATATTCCTGTCAATAAGACACCATTGTTCTCATGGCAGAACATAAAAGATACATTGCTTTGTTAATTCATCCACTGCAGGCCATGTATACTGGTCTGTGGTGTGGCTATTGCATGGCGCTGCTGAAAGACCTACAGAGCGTGGACCTTCATGCTCCGACTCAGGAAAGGCGACACCCCAAATCACTCACGAGAAGTGTTTTTTTTTTTTTTTTTTATTTTATATAACCAAGTCCATGTAAATGAAAACAAACATTTATAGACAATATTTGGGAATTTGGGCGTTGTTCTTTCCAAATTACTTCCTGCTGGTAAGGGGTGCTGTCATGGAGGATTCGAAGAAGATTCAGAAATCCTGGCTGTAGTCTGTAAGGCTGCTTTGTCCAGCTGTTTTGAATGTAGGATCACCTGGTACTCTGTTTCAGGTGGTCTGGCTTGATCAAACCACATTGGTCTGGAAGGAATCCACATCTTTTCATTTTCTGTGGAAACAAAAATAGAAATCCTTTTCCCCAGTAACTTGTCCTTGAACTTAAATTTTGGAGTCAAAGCATTTTTTTAATTTAATTTATTATTTTACATGTCGATCCCAGTTCCCTCTCCCTCCCTCCTTCCATCCCTCCCAACCTCCCTCATTCCCTCCCTTCCTCCCTCCTTCCTTCCCTCCCTTTTACCCTCTCTGCCCTCTCACATGCACTCTAACCACCCTCCCATCCCCCCACCCCAATTCCATATGTAGGGGAATGTCATCCAGTAGGGGTCATGTAGGTCTGACAGGTCATGTGAAGTAGGGACTAGGGCTTACGAGAAGTGTTCTTGATGCAACAGCATGAGGAATTTTTATTCCAAGTGCACTGGGGTCCACAGTCATAGACGACGCAGGGGTAGAGGACTGAGGACCCCTAGTGCAGAATTGAGATAGCTTTTATAGGATTTACATCAAAGCTAACAAGGCCAGTTTCAAAGCTAGCCTGTTATTTTCACTAGGCCTAAAAGCAAGGGAAGCAAAGTCATGGGACAGTTCAAAGCTTGGATGGTTAATAAGGTTTCCAAGGTTACAGAGATTTCATAGAGTACACAGTTTTTACAAGGCGGGATTGCTTAGAGCACCTGCAAGGTTAGGGGGTTTTCCTTCTCTAGGACAAGTGGGCTCAGTGGCCTTGTCCTTAAGATAATGGGATGCAGGGAAAATATACTCTCCCGTCAGGGAGTTATCTATATCTATTGGCAGATTGTTCTTTCTGGTTTTCCCTTCTTGCCATGAGTCCCATCTTTTAGTTATTAATTTTCTTTGTGGACAGGATGACCCATAACAGTTCCCAGACTGTTGTTGTGGATAACAATATTTCTCAGAAACTGGGTGGTTTTTATTAATAATATATTTCTCAGAAATTATTAATAATAATTCCCAGAAACCAGTCATGGGCATCATGACCAGATCATTTCATGTTTTTCCTTTTCTCTGAGCTTTACATGTGGCTAGGGTAGTTTTCAAATACATGCTAGTGGGTGTTTTTTAAACTTATAACTTCCAATGGTTATGGTAAAGCTAGGCTGTATATTTTTTATCCTTTCTCTGTAATAGGCATAGAGTGTTTGTTACTAATATACAGGAGTTGGTTGTTAAAATGATTTTATCTTCTTTGGATATATGCTCCAATAGACAGGGGTATACAAGGACATTCTAAAAAGTCAATGGCTCAAGAAATAAAATGAATTACATGAAATTAAAAAAGCTTTTGAACAGCAAAGATAACAATTATTTGAGTAACTGGTAGCTTAAAGCATAGGGAAAATTTTTGCTAGCTACATAACTGACAGATGATTAATATTTAGAATATATAAGAACTCAAAGAACAAGATACCAAAACTCCAATCAATCAGCCAATCAATGTACTGGTGAAATGAAATGACATTTTTCAAAAAGGTATATTTAGATGTTGTTAGAATAGGAAAACATGTTTATGTAAACCATGATAACATACTTGAGTGGCCAGGAGCTGTCCAATCTCAGAAAATGACCTTAAACACTAGGGGACCATTGCAGAAGAGAGGAAGAATTATTTTGAGAGTCAGAAGCAGTAGGTGACTATAATGAAATACTTGTCTAGACACAATATAGCAGTTGAACATATGAACTCAGCAGTTGTGATGAAATATGAAAGACCTGTGTGAGCTCAACCTGGAGAAAACTCCCAGGATGGAGAGGGGATGTGGGCACAAAATCTCACCCTACTCTCCCTCCCTCATAGCTCTTCAACTAGGGGTATGGTCCCTGGTAGGTTGACCATGCTCCAGTGGATGCCCATAAATCCACGAGTATACAGGCAGCACAAATTGGATTTGATGGATTCTTAAAAATGAGATCACAGACACTAGACCTGCCTATCCACGCAGGACCACCCTGAATCCCTGGCTGCCTGATCTCTGACCCCCCACCGCTGGTCCTCTGCCAGAGTTCCAGGCCCAGGCCAGAGATCCACCTATCTCAGCGGGACCATCCTGAGTCCCTGCCTGCCAGATCTTTGACTCCCATCACCGGTCCTCTGGTGGACAGGAATTTCCTGGAGAGCTCTGAGCACACTAGACCCACCTATCCACGCAGGACCACCCTGAATCCCTGTCTGCCTGATCTCTGAGCCCCACCACCGAGGTCCTGTACCCCTGGGTGGCGTATGACTGTGTGGACCCCAGTGCACTTGGATTAAACAAGTTTTCTTGCTTTTTTGCCTCAAGACCGCTTCTCATGAGTGATTTTGGGTGTCGCCTTTCCTGAATCAGAGTGTGAAGGTCCACGCTCTGTGGGTCTTTCATTTGATGCGTTGGCCGGGAAACTGCAACCACCCCTCACACCGACTAGGAGGTACAGGGATCCCCCTATGTGTGTGTGTGTGTGTGTGTGTGTGTGTGTGTGTCGGCCGGCGTCTCTGTTCTGAGTATCTGTTTTCTGGTATCTGAACTGCATGTTGTCGGTTTTGGTTTGCAGCTGTCCTCTCAGGCTGTAAGGACTAGAGGACTGTGATCAGCAGACTTACTAGGAGGATCACAGGCTGCTGCCCTGGGGGATGCCCTGGGAGGTGCGGGAGCCCAGGGACGACTGGTGGACTCCTTCTGTCGGTCGGAGTGCCGAGCTCTGTTGTTGAAGTGGAAGCTTCCTCCCCTGCGGCTGTCTGATTCTTTTGCCTGCTTGTGGAAGACATGGATGGGTCGTGTGGGTCTGGATCTGTTAGTCTCTGGCTTGTGTGTTTTTGTTCTGTGTGTGTCTATAGTTTTATCATAGGACAGACAGTGTTGGCTGATGACTCCCCTTAGTTTGACTCTTGACCATTGGACTCAAGTTAAGTCTCGGGGCCATAATTTGTCAGTTGGGGTTAAGGCGATCCTGGCAGACAGACTTTTTGTGCCTGAGTGGCAGACATTCGGTGTTGGATGGCCACCCTTTTAATTCTGAGATTATCTAAGCTGTTAAGGCAACTGT